TCCTGACCCGAAACGTCAGCTTTCCTGCTCCTCTGATGCTGCCTGGCCTGCTGTGTTCCTCCAGCTCCACACTGTGCTATCGGATGACAAGTGTGATGGCTTAGGAATGTAATATGCATTTTTGCTGAGTCAAAATCCTAAAAACATCATTAGAAAAGTACCTTCACCTCCCAGATTGCAGTGGCTCAAGAAGGCAGCTGACCGTCACCATCTCATGAGCAGTTAGAGATGGGTAATACAAATGGCCTGGTTAACAATGCCCGTGTCCTATGAATGGATTGAAATGGAACCTCCCCCATCTTGCCTGTGCCTGCTCTTGCTTGGATTTGAGTTTGGGCAAATTTGAACTAGACGAAGAATAAGAACAACTGGTATCGCCAACAGCCATGCACCCTACCAGTGGGACTTACTGCAGTCCTGCCAATTTCTAACCAGTTTCAGTTGATATTGGGAACATTTCTTCAGCGAAAATCACAGGATGGCTTTTATAGCAAGTGTGGGGCTGTTTGATCTACATCTTTCTCAATGTTCTCTAGCAACGGTGGCAAACCCAGGCTGTTGTAACAAGAAAAGGACAGATGGATGGTGAGGCATCTGCAAGAGACGCATCAGTGCACACTAGCGCAGGAAGTTCACTGTTGACTTCATTAAAAGTAGCTTTCATGTACATGGACTGGTAGACAGCAGGCTGGTCGAGCATGGGAAGCATCACTGCTAAGTCTGAATCTGAAACTGCCCACAACTTGTTGTGGAACACTTGCACTCTCTTGCAGGAGTCACCTCCCAGTGAGTTATCTGTCATACAAGGCAGATTTATTTCCCTTCTCTCCTATTGACTATAATCTCTATGGAAACCAGGCCTTGAGGTAATCTCTTTATAGGTACCAACTCAGAAAGATATTGCTCTATCTGTCTCCCTCTGCCTTTCTGTCTCTCGCTCACTTTATGCTTCTTTCTGTCTGTACTTTTTTGTCTCCCTCTATGCCTTTCTATCTCTCTCCCCCCGCACCTCGCTTCTCTATGCTGTTTTTCTCTCTGTCTTCCTCTCTGTACCTTTATGTCTCTCTATGTGCCTTTGTCTCTCTCTCTACTGAGCCTTCCGTACTGAAGAAGAAGTCACTGCTATTGCAAGCCAATCTGGAGGAATCAATTGATTTTCTCAATTCTCTTGATGATGATGAAATGAAAGGTACATCACTGAAACTTATTCCAGATCTGTGGGGGCTAAAAGAATGAAATTTTGTTAACACGTTACACAGAATAGGCTTTTGGCCCCTTGATAAAAAGGGTGATCCAACTGAGGTGCTTAACATAATTAAACAATTTGATAGGGTAAGAAAAAGAAATTCATTCCTGCAGTTCAGCAATCCTGAACAAGGGGCCATAACCTTAAAATTAAGCTAGGCATTTCAGGTGTAAAGTTATGAAGCATATCTTCAACGTAGGATATTAGAAGTGTGGAGCTTTCCAAGAAAAAAGACTGTTGAGACTGGGAATCAATTGGAAATTTTAAAAATAAGATTAATAGAATAGAAGGGAACTGAGGCAGGTAAACAGAGTTAAGATATAAATCAGCCAATATCTAAGATCATAAGATCACAGAAATAGGAGCAGGAATAGGCTATTTGGCCCATCTAGCCCTTCTCCACTGTTCAATAAGATTACGGCTGATTTGATTATGACCTCACTCGACTTTTCTGATCGTTCTCCATGATTCATTGCTGTTTTGTCAAACAAAAATCTGTCTAACCTGTTTAATAGATCGAAATCCACGTGTTGAAGTAGTCAGCAAAAGTGTGTGAGAGATTTACGAAGGTTTTATTGTAAATCCATAGTTTAGTACAAATGGCAGTTTCTACGTTTCCATTCTGGACTCTTTTCCTGTCCAGAAGCCAACTTCCCACTGGGAAGAAGCTCTTTATTTTAATATAAGTAAAACCACCACCAAATTCACAAATCACCCAGTTAGGAGTATCTCTGGAGCAGATCACACTTGAATCCAGGCTTTCTGGCCCAGAGGTCCGTATATACTATACATTAATGACGAAAGTGAATGTACTATTGCCAAGTTTGCAGATGATATAAAAGTAGATGGGAAGGCAATTGATGGGGTTGATGTAAAGGGTCTACAGAGGAATAAAGACAAGTTAACTGACTGGGCAAAGACCTTGCAGATGAAATATAACGTGGAAAAATGTGAGTTTATGCTTTTTGGCAGCAAGAATAAAGGAGCTGAATATTATTCAAAGTGAAAAAGACTGCAGAAAGTTACAGAACAGAGGGATTTCGAAGTTCCCGTCCATGAATCATAGAAAGCTAGTATCTAAAATTGGCCACTAACAGGGAAGGCAACTGGAATGTTGGCCTTTATTTCAAAAGGAATGGAATGTAAAACTAGGGAGACTTTGCTAAAGATGTACAAGTTACTAGTCAAACCACAGCTGAAACATTGTGAACAGTTTTGGGCCCCTTATCTAAGAAAAGATATACTGGCATTGGAGGCAGTACAGAGAAGGTTCAGTCGGCTGGTATGGAGGGACTATCATATGAGGAGAGGTTGAGCAGATTGAACCTGTACTTGATGGAATATAAAGGAATGAGTGGTGACCTTATTGAAACATACAAGTTTCTTAGTAGACTTAACAGGGTAATGCAGATAGGTTGGTTTCCGTTGTAGGTGAGTCTAAGCCCAGAGTTCGTGACCTCAGAATAATGGGTTGTACATTTAAGGCACAGATGAGGAGGATTTTCTTCTTCCCTCAGAAAATAGTGGATCTGTGGAATTCCTTACCGCAAAGGGCTGTTGAAGCTGGCTCGTTAAGTATGTTCAAGGCTGATAGAGACTTTTAATCAGTCAGGGTTATGCGGAAAAGGCAGGAAAGTGAAGTTGAGGATTATCAGATCAGATCTAATTAAATGGTAGTACAGACTTGATGGGTTGAAGGGATTACCTTTACTTTTAGGTCTTATGGACATGGTCTTATAAAGGAAGAAAACCCAACTTTTTCCACAGGTAGGGTTGAGAGGGGGGAGGCAGCAGAAGGACTTGGGCAGGTTAGGAGCATGGACAAAGAAGAGGCAGATGTAATACAACGTGGGAAAGTGTGAGGATATGCACTTTGGTGGGAAGATTAGAGACGTAGAGAATTTTCTAAATGGGGAAAGATTTCGGAAATCTGAAGCACAAACGGTTTTGAGAGTCCTAGTTCAGGATTTTCTTAAGGTTAATGTGCGGGTTCAGTTGGCAGTTGGGAAGGCAAATGCAATGTTGGCATCCATTTCAGGAGAGCTGGAATACAAGATCAGAGATGTACTGCTGAGGCTGCATAAAGATCTGGTCAGACTGCATTTGCAATATTGTGAGCAGTTTTGGGCTCCATATCTAAGGAAGGGCCTGCAGCCCGCTCGCTGTCCCCACATCACTCGGGCCTGCAGCCTGCTCGCTGTCCCCACATCACTCGGGCCTGCAGCCTGCTCGCTGTCCCCACATCGCTAGGGCCTGCAGCCTGCTCGCTGTCCCCCATCGCTAGGGACTGCAGCCTCCTCGCTGTCCCCACATCACTAGGGCCTGCAGCCTGCTCACTGTCCCCACATCACTAGGGCCTGCAGCCTGCTCACTGTCCCCACATCGCTAGGGCCTGCAGCCCACTGGTCGTCCCCGCTCAGCTAGGGCCTGCAGCCTGCTGACTTTGCTTAGGGGATCCGGCATCGTAGGTCAAGGGCAGCTTTTGATACCAGTCCGGACTTGGATATAGTTATTCATCTGCTCAGGACAGTCAGAATCAGGATCTTCGCCACATAAGCACTGAGGAACTAAATGTCAGGCAATCCACCCATACTTTGACTTGCCTGCCCCATTGTGGACTGTTTACCTTCTGGAATGACAGAAAGATATTAAGGGAAATGGAAGGGGGTGGCACCGATGTTACATTTGTTGGAGGTGTAGAGATATCCCAACTGAGTAAGTAGGCAGCATAGAGAGCATGCAAAAGTTCATGGTGTCCAGAGTTGGAGTTGGGGTGTGGAGAGTGGGAGGTAGAGAGTGGGAGAAGACGTTGCATGAAATGTTGAGATGTCGAGCATGAGCCTTGGTTGTAGGTGGATATAGTAGCAGAGTAGGGGCAGAATCCCTGTGTACTGTTAAGGCTGAAATAAATTCTTCATCAGTTGGAGAAATGAGGAATATCAGATCAGCCATATTGAATAGCGGAGCAGGTTCGTGGAGCCAAGTGACCTTCTTCCTATTCTTGTTTGTTATGGTCTTATTGAGTGAGTGTGAGGTATTCAGAGAGGAGATAGTGGCACTGCAGCTGGCGGAGTGGGGAATGACATTGACCTTTTTCCTATAGATTGCCTTCATAGACAAATGGTAAAACCTTGCATATTCTAATAAATAAATGAAATTCCTTCTAATTTCAACACCTCTAGAGTGCTCTGTGCAGTACCTGTCACCTTATTTAAAGGAGCATGTAAATGAAGTTGGAACAGAGAATATTTGCGAGATGAATACCTGAAATGGGAGGGGTTGTCTTATGAGAAAAGGTTGGACTAACCTTGGCTAGGCTTGTATCTGCTGGAGTTTAGGAGACTAAGAGGTGACTTGATTGAATCATGTAAGATCTTGAGGGGACTTGATAGGCTGCATGTAAAAAGGAAGTTTCCTTTTGTAGTCGCTCTTTAAAGACAGCTATCAGAAGAGAAGTTTTTTCTTTCACAATGTCATGAGCCTTTAGAACTCTCTCAAAACGTGGTGGAAGCAGACTCTTTGAATATTTTTAAGGCAGAGCTAGATAGATTCTTGATAAACAAGTGGGTGAAAAGTCATTGGAGACAGGTGGGAATGTGGGGTAATCAGATTAACCATGATCTCAGTGAATGGCAGTGCAGGCTCAAGATGCCAAGTGGACTACTCCTGCTCGTAACCCCTTTTGCTTCTGGTAATACTGCTTTTATCCCTTTGTTAATGATAAGGTGGACTGCTGGAAATAATCTTTCACTGTGTCACCTACTAAACCATGTCACGTGTCCAGAACATTTGAGCAGCCTTCAATCCATTATTTTAAATTTTGCTTTTAGGTCTCCCTTTCCCTTTTACTGTTCCAATAAATAAAGTTGCATTTTTTCCAAAACCCTTGTTTTTACTGGACGCTGTGTGAACTACCTATGTCTTCCTTGCATAAGTTGCCACGTATGGAGGGTTTCAGCTATAGGGAGAGGCTGAATAGGCGGAGGCTATTTTCCCTGGAATATCGGATGCTGAGGGGTGACTTTATAGAAGTTTATAAAATCATGAGGGGCATGGATAGGGTGAATAGTCAAGGTCTTTTCCCAAGGGTAGCAAAGTCCAAAACTATACGGTGTAGGTTTAAGATGAGAGGGGAGAGATTTAAAAGGAACCTAAGAGGCAACATTTTCACGCAGAGGGTGGTGCGTGTATGGAATGAGCTGCCAGAGGAAGTGGTGGAGGCTGGTACAATTACAACATTTCAAAGGTATCTGGATGGGTATATGAATAGGAAGGGTTTGGAGCAATATGGGTCAAATGCTGGCACATGGGTCTAGATTAATTTAGGATATCTGGTCAGCATGGATGAATTGGACCAAAGGGTCTGTTTCCTTGCTGTACATTTCTATGACTCTAAGACTCTCTCTCTCTCCCCCACTCTCTATCTCTGCCTGTTTGTTTCTGTCTCTCTGTACCTCTGTCTTTTTCTCTTCCTCTGTGCATCTAACTCTCTCTGTCTCTGTGTGTCTCTCTGTACCTCTATCTCTACCTTTGTTCCACTCTGGTGTGTACGTGTGTGTGTGCGCTTGTGTGTATGTGTGTGTCACGCTGTCTATTGCTGTGTCCCTTTCTCTCAGATTCTATCTCTTTGTGTCTCTTTCACCAAAAACAAGGTTAATTTTGACTAATTTGAGTGCAGTTCCCAAGTAATGATGACCCCGTCTATCCGCTGTCTGTAAAAATGTTGCACAAAGTACTTTCAAGAAATGGTAATCTCACTGCTGGTAGCTCTGTGCCCATTACCTAAGATTGAAGCACAAATTGATGTAGAAATGTCCAGGTGAATTTGGGATATCGTAAAGTCTTGAATGGGATGTGAAAACATTCACTCAGAATTACCGTTCTGTGGTTCAGGTTAGAGAATGTTGGTGAGCAGAATAGAGGAAGCTCTATTTTGCACCTGACATGAGTTAGGAGTGCTTCATGCAAAGGTGAACAGAAGTGTTTCCATTCTTGAGTGTGTTTATAAGTTGCAGTGAGCACAATATTCTCCATAATGTAACAATTAAGAATAAAGTCTGGACTGTTTAATCACAATTGCTGCTTAGTGTTGGGCTGCATTTCCAATCCATTTTCGCACTGCTGTTGATGATATTTCCTTTCTTTCTCAGCCTTAGTTGCATTTCAACCCTGTGCTTCTTCCCCTTTACCAGGATATGCGGACTTGTCTAATTTAGCTTTTGATGTAGATGCCATTGACTTAGATGCAGAAGAGAGCGATTCCCAAACCAACCATCGGTCCCCTAAAACAAGCGTTAGCAGTGTAACGACTCCCCCGTCCAACGCAAAACGAATCCCATTTTTTAAGAAGGTAACGCCTTGTCAGTGCACACAGCTGCCTGATGCACGAACTAGCACACATCCCACTTAGTTTGCTGCTTATATGTCTCTGAGACTTGTTAATAACATGCATGCCTTGTTGTTTTTTTCTTGGGCTATCTTTCCACGCACACTTGAGCAGCAAAGCCGAAGCAGAAATCGGTAAGTCTATTTTATGCTTTCTGTATTTCACGCTGAAGCGTAGAGTCAGACTGGGGAAACTGCAGTTCCCTGTGACACAACATGCCTCAAAACCTGAAACCTCTTAGAACAACAGCTGTTCAAATAAACATACTTCAACCAATCCTGTGATTAATAACCATCATTTGCTCATGTCAGAGAGTAATAACTTGCATTTGCTTCAGCTGCAAAAAGCATGGTGAGGGTTGTTTATTTAAAGATGTGTGAGAATAAAATAAAAAGTCACTATTCTGTGTGCATAATGTACATTAGACTCCATGGCATTGACGAACATAAGATTACTTCTACACCTAAGATGGGAATGGATTCAAGCAAGAATCTTAGTCTAGTAAGCCATCAAGTGGTCAGAATCAGTATTTCTATTGTGATGGTTGACATATCAAAAATGTTAATTTAATATTTTACCGGAAAAATGGGAAACATTGCTACAAAATCGTATCCATGGTACCAGATTTACAACAGAGAGTTTCACACTCTATGCCACTTTATTTTTTATAAACGTGTAGAACTATGGAAGGGGCAGAGCCAAGTTATTTGTGAACTGGAAAGCACAAGAGCCAAAAACAATTTGAACGTTTAGATTGTAAACTGCTCGTAATCCCCCAGCTTTCTAAATATTGGCTGATTCATTGGGGAGAAAGTCAACACAAGGAGCCAAAGAAGTGTGTTTGAACCAGGCAAAGAGGCTTTAGAGGTCCCATCGCCAGATACATAACAGTGGATTTATGTGGATAGAGCCAGCTACAGAGGGAATGATACTGATTTGTAAAATCCTAAAATGCTAATGTGGTGTAGGTGCAAGTGTGTATTTTACTTGGACTGAATTGTAGTAAAAAGATTTATATTAATAAATCAAAAGTAACATTAGCATTTAGAAGATGGAGGTTGATCATAATCTACGTGAGCGATCAATACTGTTCCAATTAATTTATGTATCAAGGATTTATGAGGGAACAGGAACAGATTTAGATGGTTAGGCATATGACAGCATAAGAAACGGGTGTTGATGTAGGACATTCAGTCCTTTAGAGCCTGTTCCAATGTTCAATAATTCTACCTCAATTACATCTTCCTGCTCTACCCTTTATGCTTCCATTTCAATTCTAATTGATCTTAGTGACTGACCATCTGTTACCACTGGGAAGAGCATTTCAAAGGTCTGTAAGCCTTTCAGTGAATAAATGTCACCACAGCTCTGTGTTAAACGGTCAGCTTCTTATTCTAGGCACTGTGACCTGTAGCCCTAGATTCCCCCATTAGGAAAAAAGATCGGCCTTATCAGGTGCCATGGGAGTTCTATATATTCCAGTTAGATCATCTCTTGTTCTTCCAAATACTAGTGAATATAGGTCAGGTCTACATAATCTGTCCTCGTCATAGAATTCCCTCATTCGAGGAATCAATCTAATGAATCTGCATTGCTCTCATCCCTGAGTGTACATATCCCCTCTCCGATAAGGAGGCCAAAGTTGGGCACGTGTGGCCTGACCAAGTCCCGATATAATTGGAGTGAGACTTTTATTAAATCTCTGATACACCGAAAGTTTTGTAATGAAATAGCCATCAGTGCACTTATCCTGTGCTATTGACTCCCCATCGAATGTCCAGTTCCTTAGTGACTCCATTAGCCAAAGCAAGATCCAACATGGTAGAGATTCAAACAGACTGGGAGGGTCTCTTGCTCAATCTGTGTTGCATCCGTTGGTGACAGCACTGGGCCCCACTAAAATTGGGTTGTTTCTTGTTATTAAAGGAGAGGAAGCTAGGCCACAACTGTGGATGGGATCATGTTAGATGTGATGCTGTCCTATCAGCTGACCCAATGCCCTGATGACAAGATCAGGCCCTGTGTTTACCACATAGCAGAATAGAGTCACAGAGTCATAAGACAGGGAAATAGACCCTTTGGTCCAACTCATCCATACCAACCAGATATCCTAAATTAATCTAGTCTAAATCGTATGCTCTAAATTGCTATCCGCTTCGATCTGTGCTAAAATAAATCAACAACAATTTGAATGACTCAAAGACATCTCCAACCCAATCCAAGGCTAAAACCTTGTTAAAGGTGGAGGGAGGTTCCATTGTAAGGGGTTTGATTTCTACCAGTAGAACCCTGGCTAACATAAGACAGGAAATTCCTGTCATCGTCAGAATATTCAATGATAAGATGATCTATAAAAGTTGAATGCTGAGGAAGGAAGGCCTGTTTGACCCTGATAACTAGAGACAGACAGTCCAGATAATTTCCGTCAGTTGGTCTTCAGATGAAACATAGGGGACCATATTCATTTAGCGGAAATAAACCAACTAAACCAACACCAAGTCTGCCAGTTGGTTTTTAATATTTTAACTTTATTTGTATATACTATATTGCTATATTTGGCTAGATGTTCAGAGTCTGAGCAAGTCTGATTGAAATGTAGAAAGCACAGTTCAATTTAATTTATAAGACACTTCTGCAGAAATATTTATGAAATTATTGCTGTGGTTTGACTTTTTTATTGAGCACGATTTATCAGTATTTGAGACTTGAGACAGTTTTTAAATAAGCAATGCATTTTAAAGCCAGAGTGCCTCTTTGGAATTGGGTTTGACAAACCCTTTCTGCATTTGGCAAACACTCCAGCTGGAATGCTTCTCTGTGCGACTGCTTCATCGTGGCCTAGCCTGTGCTCAGCAAAAAACAATGCACCGCTTCTTGCTCACTGTTGGTGGAAAATCTTAACCTGTTGATTCTGTTATTAGATATGTAAACACTTGCATACTGGTGGATGGAATTTGGCACCGTCCTCCATGAAACAGAGAAGGTTCAGGCACGATTTAACATAGAGGTGTTTAAAATTGAAGGGTTTTGAAGATGAGTCGGGGAGAAACTGGCTCCTGTACCTGAAGTGCCGTTAACCAGAAGTAACATTGTAAAACCGTCAAGTCAGACTTAGGTTGGAAGTGGCGGGGCGGGCAGTGGTGTGTGGGTGGGAGTGATGAGAAAATGTTTATTACTGAGCAAGTTGCTCTGATCGGGAATGCGCTTCCTGGAAAGGCAATGGAAACAGCTTCAGTAAGCAACATTGAAAAACGAATTGCATGAATGCTTGAAAAGAAAAATAAATACGAGGCTATAGGAAAAGTGCAGAAGAGTGGGGCTAATTCCGAGAGCCAGTAAGACACAACGGGCTGAAGGGCCTCCAGCCGTGCTTGGTGATTTTATGGATTAAGATGAATTGTTTTGATGCTTTATCTGGCTTTCTCTACCTCCCTGAGCAGCAAGAGAATGTGCCTCCCTATGATGTTGTGCCATCCATGAGACCAATCATACTAGTGGGTCCGTCTTTGAAAGGTTACGAGGTAAGTCCCCCATAAACAAAACAGTCAGACATAATGACGTATTGCTCCTGGCACACAATTGCATGTGGCACGTGTGCACTTTGTGACACATTGGGGAAGTGCTGCTACTGCCGTATCTGAAAGTTGGCGCTACGAGTCCCAAGCCCCACGTATATAAATGAAGCTGATGCTCCCAGCCGGAGTGCTGCACTGTCAAAGGTGCTGTCTTCCTCCTGAGATTCCAACTCTGTTGGGTGAATGAAACACCTCCCATGGTGCTGCCTTTGAGAAAGACCAGGGGCGGGGGTGGGGTTGGGTGGGTGGTTAGCGGTGACAGCTGGAGGTATTGCTGGTCAATATCTATTGGTTAATCAAAATCACCAACACCGATTATCTGTCTGACCCTAAATGCAGTGCTGTTTTTAGTTAAATCCTGTGCACAATTTGCCACATTTCACAGCAATGGGTCTATGCTTCAGAATTACATAATTGGCTGTGAAAGGCCTTAGCATGTCTTGCGTGAGGAAGGTGCAATCTAAATTCAAGTTCTTTGTTTCTTTCCATCTGCTATTTGTCCCCAGTTTATGAGCATTAAGGAGTTTCAGTCAGTAATTTTAGTGCCCAAATAGTTACGCAAGTCACAAATCTGTAGTGTTGAGATCCTGGCCTGTGTTCTGATTGCAAATTAGTCATATGAAACGTTCACAGAGGAATGGCGAGCTTGGAAAATCCATGCCAACAGCTAAAACAGGAAACTTGCTTCAATTGTGACAAAGCTTAATTATGCTACACTTGTCTTTGCTTCTGTGCAGGTGACAGATATGATGCAGAAAGCTCTGTTTGACTTTTTGAAACACAAGTTTGATGGAAGGTAAGAATCGTTGGAGTAATCTTTACTCCATGAAATGTACAGATGTGTGAGAATATGTTGGTTCATACCCTGTGCATACCCTCCCCTAATAGGTGGCAGCTTCAGTCTTAAAGCCCAGTTTGAGTCCCAGTTTGTACAAAGGTAATTTATCTCCACCGGAATGAGAAAAATGTTGGATAGCACTAAGGAGAAAAGTCATCATTCCACAAACAGGATTGAGAACAAATAGACTGGGACAACCCAATCCCCTACTTTGTAAAACTCGTAAATAATGGGAGAGGAAATAGTCGTTTTGGTCCTTTTAGTCTGCTGTGGCATTCAGTCAGATCATATTGTTGTAACTTGCTCTTAAATGCATCTATTCTATTCACCTCAACTCCTCCCTGTGATCGTGATTCCAGTCATTCAATGGGTAAGAGGTTTCTCTTCAATTACCTACTGCATTTTTCAGTGACTAGCAGATAGTAGCCCCTATGAATTCCACCAGACAAGTGATCTGTGGACAGAACACAAAAAGGCAATAGGCCTGTCATTTTTTATTCTGTAACTTAAGGAGACATGCATTTGCTTTGTGATGTAATTATTTGTATGCTGAGATGTTCATAATTGTGCAATTTTTTAAAAAAAAGTTATTTTAATTATTGTCAAGATCTAGGTTATGAATTACAATTGCCTGTTTTATTTGTATCATTATCAGAATTTGGCACATGCCACCATAAACCAGTTACCAAAACCAAAATAACTGACTACTCCAATTGCCCCTGATGCTAAGAGATTTCCTGTCCCTTTAGCTGCTGCTGTGTGATATTCCTACTTCCCACCACAAGACTTGAATTTGCATTAACATGAGGTGAGGAAAAGCCTTCTGTGATGCACCATGTCATGGAACAACCCTTTATAGTTGACGTATAAACAATGATTACTGGGGCAAGGTATCAAATAATGACTAGTGACTCCTTAATTCACTCATGGGATGTGAGCATCGCTGGCTAGGCAGCATTTATTACCCATCCCTAATTGCCCAGAGGGCAGTTAAGAGTCAACCACATTGCTGTGGATCTGGAGTCACATGTAGGTCAGACCAGGTAAGGATGGCAGTTTCCTTCCCTAAAGGACATTAGTGAGCCAGTTGGGCTTTTTTTCCTGACAATCAACAATGGATTCATGGTCACCATTCGGCTCTGAATTCCAGATTTTTTTTTACATTGAATTCAAGGTCTACCCACCTGCCATGGTGGGATTTGAACCCAGATTCCAAGAGCATTAGCTGGGTTTCTCGATTAATAGCCTAGTTATAATGCCACAAGGCCATTGGCTAATCTAAAGCAAGGCAGCAATGTGTTCAGGGAGGGAAGAGAAGAAACATTGACGGAAACAGTGCAAATAGAACAAGGAAGAGTACAGAAACTGTGAAAAGACAAGGATTCCATACTTGAGCATTATCAGCAGAAATCCATTGGGAGATTGAGGGGGCAGGATGGGTGGGTGGTGGAATGAATTGTAATATTGAAGTCAAGCTTCCGCCCTCCTCCAAACCTCCCACCCCCACCACTACCACCACTCATTCACATGAGACCCCTTTGAACTTCACCCTACAAGCGTTAGCTCATTTTACACAGCAGATGGGTAAAAGGGCTGAAGATAACTGTATTAGTGTTGGCCTCAGTGCCCTCCGGGTAAAATATAGAAATCTTGCTCCTGATTGTCCCCTAATGCACCTCTTGGAAGGTGCACAAGTGAATGCGTGTCAACCCAAGGCAGAACCAAGCTTGATTGCTGTTAATAATTTGCTGATGCCAGGAATTTGGGCTGATGCATGCAACAGTGGCCACTTTGATTTGCCAGAGAGTGACTGAAAGTGTAGCCAAAAAGAGAATCAGCACCTTTAGAAGAGATGGCGGGGAAAAAAAATTGGAAAAGCAAAAAGTCGGGCATTGTGACATAGAAAAATGTAACAGCACTGTTTTTGCAGAGGAACAAAGCTATGACCCAACTTTGAATGTCGGGCACTCCATCACAAGTGTAGCCCTTGGCATGCACGCCCTCAATGCTCAGCAGAACAGTGCAATGATAAGCTGCAATCTCATAGACAGTGCCAGAGCTCAGAGTGGAATGGCTATAAGTAACCCTGCTTTCTGTTGACAGAATATCAATCACAAGAGTTACTGCTGACATTTCGCTAGCCAAACGATCAGTGTTGAACAACCCCAGCAAACACACAATTATTGAACGCTCCAGCACACGCTCCAGCCTGGGTGAGATACTCTCTTAACTCAATAACAAGCGGGTCCTGAAGACGTGTCCCAATGCATTGTAAACTGGAAGTCACTACCTTAAAAGGCTGGTGGAAGCAGACACAGTGGTAACTTTCCAAAGAAGGTTGGATGAAATACTTGAAAAGGAAATATTTGACAGGTTATGGGGAGACATTGGGAGGAAGGAGTAATTACAGAAGTGTTACGATGTAGAATGAGGCCATTCAGCCCATTGTGTTAAACTTCAAATGAGTACCATTACATACTGCCAATATCCTGCTTTTCTCCCCTGATGACTTTGCACATTCTTTCTCTAAAAAATAAACATCCAGTCCCTTCTTGAATGTTTCAATTCACTAATTGGGTAGTTCTTTCAAAGAGCTGGTGCCAAACATAATGAGCTGAATGGGAGCCTCCTGTTCTCTGATTCTCTGCCAATGTTGATCAGGGATTTTTCTGTCACTATTGAAAGAACTTGGGTTAATTCTAGCGTGTTCCGAATCTCGCTCTTGTTCACAGAGTTGGCACCCACTGTTTTTGTAACTGACATTTTTTTGACTAAGGCTAACCGAATGGCTCCACGGCTTTGGTAAAACTTCCATGAGCAGCCCCAGTGTGAAGCCATAAGATTACAAACAAGATGTGACACGTGCGGTGATGAGGTTGAGAAATGGCTCGAATTTTAGCAACGTGTGGCTGCAGTTGGATTGAACAATGCAGCAGCTGTGAAGTTGTTTGCGTCCCATATTTGTGATGCAGGTCTTCGTGGCCCTCACTGTGACTGTTACTGTTAGTTTCCATTTCTAAGAAACAGCAACAGCTTCCTTTTCTGCACAGATGGAGAATGTCAGATAGTTGGGCAGATATCGCCACCTAAAGCCAGGAGAAGGTATTGCTGGCCTTTTAGTCACTGACAATATCGCCATTCGGTTCCAAATACAATTGCATCCTTCTACTTTTTAAAAATGAAATGAAACCTGCAAAAGTCTCAGTCATACCTTTCAGATTATAAATATAGCCTTGGTGTCTTGACTCAACATTTTTTAAAAAGCGCATCTGATGCACTCAAAACTATCATTACCTATTTATATCAGTGCCTGCAACATACACATACAGATGATTGCTGAACGCAGGGGGAAGTTGGTTAGCTCACTCGGTTGGATGGCTGGTTTGCGCTGCAGAGTGACGCCAACAGCGTGAATTTGATTCCCACACCAGCTGAGGTTACCAATCTCTCCCCTCCCCTCAGGCATGGTGAGACATGAGACCTTTGGGACCATGGTCACACTCCTGTTACCCGAGGCAGAAACTGCAGAGTCGGAAGTGATTGGGATCTTTGAATGCTAAAGCATTAGGCTGCTGTGAGAGGTTTCCTATTCTGCAAAGGAAATTGTGGCATCCTTACACTGGTTCACACCAACCAAGCAAAACTAAAAATACTAAGCTGGAGGGGAAGTCCTGTAATTTGGACAAAGTACTTTTCTTAATCTTTTATATACGTTATTGTCATGTGTATTCAATATAAAATACAGTGAAAAGTGTGTATCATCGCCATACATAGGTGCCGTTCACATTAACTTAGAATAAAATTTTAAAAAAAGATAACTTAAAGAAAGTCCAACTTTTCCTTCTGCACCACTACAGCATATCACTGCCAGAGTCCCAGTCCAGGCTTCCCAGCCCATACCATGCTGCCAAGAGTGTCCTGCTCCAGGCTTCCCAGCCCAAACCATGCTGCCAAGAGAGTCCCACTCCAGGCTTCCACCTGTTCCTACCCCATTGTCCATTTAAGTCTTTTTTTTAATCATCAAATGTGACCAATGTCCTGGCAGTTCTGGTGATATCACTGATATGGAGAAACCTTGAGATTTATCCAGACTCTGTTAGTGGACTTTTGTGGGGGAGGAGCCATATACGCATCCCATACCCTCCCGTTCCCCCCACCCCAACCATGCCAGCTCAGCTTACTCTGAGCTAGCACATCCTGTGAAAGGGCACAAGCAGCTCAGGCCCTGGTTTATTTTAAAAAATGAGGTGCACAATTAGTCTGCTTCTGTTAGATTTCTATTTCCCCCCTAAAGCGTAATCACTACTGATTTATCTGTAATCATTAGCTCAGTCTGACTATGTTAAAAGGTTTTTTTTTGCTTCTGGCATGTTGCAGACACCATTTTGACCATTACATTCCAGAGTTGTAGAAGTTTTCTTTTTCAAAAGGGAACTACAGTGAGTCATTGTAGACTCAATACTCAATTAGTCACGTTGCTGCAGAGCAGGGATTGGCAAACTAAATACGCACCATTAGTTATCACTGGAGAGGACAAGTCAGAAAACCCCAGTGGTCAAATCATGGTGTGACTATAATGTCTAGTCAGGTCTGCAAGATCTACATAGAGGATACATACAAATGGGACATTGTATAGAGCCAATCCACAAGGTTGTTACCTGATGATGAAAGGTTTTGAAGAGGTTTTGGAAAAACCTATTCTTTTGGTGTCCTAGATTGACCTTGTCCCATATTAAGTCTTCTGCTTGTTCCCTTCATTTGCTTATTTTTACTGTCTGTGTTGGAGAGATCACTTTGTATACCAATGATAATCTCCTGTCACAAATACCAGAGAGGAAAAGATTTAAATTGGCAACGTGGAGATCTCCCAGGTCCAAGGCAGCTTTTCAAGTCGGCCAATCCAGTTTCACATTGCTGTTCCAGCTGTTCATTGTAATAAATGTTCTTTTTCCTTCATTTTCTCATTTTGTAATGTGATGGTTCCATAGGAGAATCCAGAATGGCTTTAGGAGCAGCGATCAATGGAGATCTTATCTCACTTGTTGATCGCTTTTCAAGAAATTGACCAAGACTTTACGTGGCTTTCCTTCATTTCCTATTGCTGTTTCATCACGGCTACCCCATGTAATACAAAAAAAAGTCTAAACCTAAAAGCAAACTATAAAAGGTGTGCCAGTGCTGTGTTTAATAGCCACACATATATATATTCTCATTGAACTTAGACCCTCCCTTTCTCATAGCATCAGTGTGCGTACTGTATGGAAGTGGAGGGACAAGGATTGAGATGAAGGAGCATAACAGTGACTGTCGGGCAGAGAGATTTTCTGACATTTGGCAGCTGTAAAACACAAGACTGTCATACACTGGCCTTGTGTTTTCGAAAAATGGGTGAGCTAGGTAACCATGGAGAGGGGGATGCCAACAAAAGGAGTGTGCGCAACCCATCCTTGTAATTACACAGGTGTCATTTCAATTCCTCATCCATATCCCGTCCTCTGTCTACCTGTCATGCACAGGCCAGGCATGCAATACCTATAACACCTGGCCAGAATGGGAATTTCAGGCTCGTATCATGGCTGTTTACTTGACTGATTCATTCATTAGGAGAGCCAAGGTAAAGGTTTATCCTATCCATTCGATAGCACAGACTGAATGGGCCGAAAAGCCTGTTCCCCACCTGTTCGTTCTATATCGTTCTCTTTTTCTGTGCTATCTCCACTTTTTTTTTCGTTTTTCAAAACGACTATCTGTAAAGTGTCCAAAACTAGGTCCATGGCAAAGTAATGCTAATGACATATGATCTCAGGAAAAATTAAAATGCAAAGCCCATCTCAACAAGATTTCAGTTTCACCCTTCAACAGGAATAGCTGTAACTTACATTTATATCACAACTTTAACATAACAAAATGTCTCGGTGCGTCTCACGAGATTATTATCAATCCAATTTAACACCGAGTCACTGCAGAGACCTTGGGGCCAGCGAGCAGCAGCTTGGTCAAAACAGAAGTACCTTTAAGAAGAAATGGATGAGTTTTAGGGAAGAAATGCAGAGTGGAGGGCCTTGGCAGCTGAAGGCATGACTGCCAGCAACAAAATGATTAAACTCAAGGATGCTCAAGGGGACAGAATTAGAGAAGTGCTGGTATCATGGAAGGTTTTAGGGCTGGAAGAGATTAGAATTGAAATCACCTGCCTTCAGGGGGGTTGAGCTCAGAGGTGAGAAGGGCACTGAGTTATATGTGATGGTGTCTTACCCAGACACTACCACCTTCCTGCTTCCACCGGAATTGAGCTCCAGGTGTGGGGGTTGACCATCCTGATTGCTGCCCCTTGAGGCCCACAAGTGACAATTAAGGAGCACTCAAAGAGCTCGTTCTGCCTTCACTGGGACTAACCCAGGCTTCAGTGGGCCTGTTCCCACGCAGTATTGACGATAGCTGCTAACCTGTGGGCAGCTTGAACCCCCTCTGTGACAGGATCTCTTTATCAAAGGCAGTAAGTTTCTGACTGAGGGGGTGGACATTGAACAAGAGAGTGCCCGCTGTGAGCCACAACAGTGCTCTTTCTTCAAACACCCCTGATCTCCGTCCCTTCTCCCCACGACATCCAATACCACCCTCCCCCCCCCCTCCACACACCCCCACCAACAAGCCACCCCCACCTTCCCTGACATTACCTTCCTCTGTCCTTGACCTTCTGCAATCTTGGGACTCCGGGGGTGTTCTCCTGTCAGCAGCCCTGGCCCCCTACCATGGCAATTGCTGGCCAGTCAGGCTTTGATTGTCTGGCAGTTCTCTTCAGGGGGGTGACCCCTGGCTTACACCCCCTTCCCGGCTCTCATTTCAGATTCCTTCGTAGCCTCACCACTGCCTCTTTGTGTGCTATCCTGGTCAAGGCAGCATGAGTTTCTCTGTTATTCAGCCAGGTGAAAGTTATAGGAATGATATTAAGAAACTGGAGAGGGTTCAGAAGAGATTTCCCAGCAATGTTGCCGGGAATGGAAGGTTTGAATTATAAAGGGGAGCTGGATAGGCTGGGACATTTTCCACTGGAGCATAGGAGGTTGAGAGGTGACCTGATAGAAGTTTATAAAATCATGAAGGGTAGTGATAGGGTGAATGGTAGTTGTTTTTTCCCTGGGATATGGGATTTCAGGATGAGAGGGCACATTTTTAAGGTGAGAGGAGAGAGGTTTAAAAATGACACGAGAGGCAAATTTTTTACACGGAAGATTATTCGTGTGTGGAATGAACTTCCTGGCGAGGTAATGGATGTGGGCACAATTACAACGTTTAAAAGACGTTTGGTTAAGCACATGAGCAAGAAAGGTTTGGAGGGATTTGGACCAGGAGCAGGCAGGTGGTGCTAGTTTAATTTGGGATTATGTTCGGCGTGGACTGGTTGGACCAAAGGAGCTATTCCCCTGCTGTGTGACTCTATGATTATATGATACCTCAATAAGATTCCACCCTAGAAATAAGTGGAAGCAACGCCGTGTTAAGATTTGAAAATGAGGATGAGTGTTTTAAGATCAAGCTGAACTGGCAGCTAATGTAGGTGAGCAAGAACTGGGATGATAGATGAACAGGCATTAGGACAGATACAGCAGAGATTCAGGATATCACCATGGCTATAGAGGATACAATGTTGAGAGAGCAGCCAGGAGCAGGTTGAGTGATCAAGTCAAGAGGTGACAAGTTCTGGCTGAAGATTTCAGCAGGAGATGAACTGAGCAAAGGTACTGTTGGATGATGTTATGGAGGTGGGAATGCATGGTCCTAGTGATTGCACAGAAAGGTGGTTGGAACTTCATCTCCAATTCGATGTCACACCAAAGCCTAGTTCAGACTCAGACACTCGCCAGGGAGAGAGAATCAGAATTTGTGGCAGGGAAGAAAGACAAAATTTAATTCAACTTAGAGTCGAATTAATAGAAACTGAGATTGTCATGTCAGTTTTATATCCAGTATCCATTGCTGATAATTCAATATTATTCTTGCTGAAAAAACACTAAACGTCATAAATAAAATTAAACATTGTTAACAGTTTGTACTTTCTGCTCTTTCAAATTAGCTGACTTCAAATTAAGAGCTAATGTCTGTATAAAAATAGAAAATGTTGGAAATACACAAAAGGTCTATGAACAAGGTTGGGTTAACCTTTCAGTCATTGCTATTCTCTAAATTACAGTGGGAAAAATTGAGACCTTTGTATTTATTCCAAGGTGATAAAAATATTAATGCGACAATTGTGAAAAGTTAACAGGTCATCATCAATCTACTCTAATTTACTGATAAATTCTAATCTGAATTTTAATAAATATTGCTGTGTAGCATGCTTTGTACATTATAAACTGACTGTCTTGGATTTTTCTCTCTCATTCTTTCATTCCATCACTACTCTCCTTCCTCCTCAGATGTACTGGGTATGTATATCTTGCCATAACATGTAACCCATCCCATTATTTTGTGTCATACCTTTAAGTGTCTGTGTGTAGGTATGTCTGCCTCAAGTTGCTTCCCATCCCTTGCAGCAGGTTCTGACTTATGGCTAAGGGTAGTAGCTACTCTCCTGGAAATCTCAATTGGAATGAGAACTTGGCTTGACTGATTTATCCTTTTGGCATGTAAATGCGAAAACAATGCCAGAAGTAAAGGTGGTTCCAAACAAACTCTGGAGTCACACTATCTAAGAACTTCCTTTCCTAAAAAGAGACAGTATTGAACCAGGCAGGTATTTACAATAGTCAATGATTGTTCCATGGTCACTATTATTGATAGCAAGATTGATACCAATCCTAGATTAATGTATCTATCTTCAAATCCCTGTTTGGTAGCTGATGGAATTTAAACTCATGTACTGACAGCATTGGCTTGGGCCTTTCGATGACCAGTCCATTAACATTCCCACTACACCTTCATCATCCTTACAGAGGAAGAGTTAATCCAACATGACGAAATGCATGAGGGAGAGCAGGAGAGAAATTACAGGTCATAATCAGATCATTGGTGATACATTTCTTCTAAGAATAAAGAAGGTTGAGCCTCAAATGTTGTCCTGCTAACTTGGAAATTTAAATGGAATTAATATGACCCAGCAGATGTTCATGGAGCTTTAGTTAAGAGGACTGGGTGTTCGGTACACCATTGCCAACTCTTCCTCTGAACCCAGCATTTCAGTGATTAGAATAAAGAATGGGTTTAGCCACTATTTCAATGTTTGATATTTAGACTATCCTCAGCACCCCTTGACCTTTCTGCGTTGTTTGTCTAAAGTTTTATCCCTTTCTCACAGATGCATGTGCTCCCTTGCTGCCAGTGTAACTTGCCTGCTGTAGCACCTGAGTGCACCTCCTTGGCAGTCTACTACACATATAGACCATTAGCATACAGCACTACTCCACAGTGTGCTGTTAACCAGCAGTTAACACTTTGCTGTCCAGCATGCATGCAGCAAGTTCACATCAGCATGCAGGTAATGCTGAATTACCCCACCCACAAAGAATATCTCCAACTTTTTGCCTCGTATGGGGAGAATGCATTACTAGTTTGCATGAAGAAAATGCATTATTTTCTAGCATACAAGGAACGCATTAGCAAAAGACATGTATTAAAAACCGTGCAGGGCATGCATTACCATTATGTATGCAGAATATGCATTATCATCAGGCATGCAGGAAATGTGTTAACGTCAGGCATGCAGAAAGCAACATGCAGAAAATGCGAAGCATTTTAGCATGCAAAGGTATGTTCTATTATGTATAAACATCTTAAACTGAATGCAGAGACCATGAATTGTCTAGTTACAGAAATGAAAATGTTTTAAGTTGCAGAAATCAAAACAGGTACTGTATATTCACTTAATATAGAGAGATTTTATAAACCCACTTTTACTGAATTTTCTCTGCTGATTTTTCCAATGTACTGTTATTTCAGAAGTTGTACATTTTAAATATCACTACTTGCATTGTTGAGAGCTGACATGGCCCCTACTAATGATGATAAAAACCGAAAGAACTATGGATACTGTAAGTCAGGAACAAAAACAGGAGTTGCTGGAAGAGCTCAGCAGGTCTGGCAGCATCTGTGAAGAAAAAATCAGAGTTAACGTTTCGGGCCCGGTGACCCTTCCTCAGAACTAATGATGATATCGACTGAAGTCGGAGCTTGTGTTTGCATTAAAGGCACACAGTCCTCTGGGAAATAGATGGAGAAGTCAAGGAAAGACTAAATTAGATTGTTCTCCCAACCGTCCCTCACCCGAAACATACTTGTTGATTGAAATGCTGCACACGAAAGCAGGAAATGCAAAAATCTTAGCAACTTACCACTTCAAATTAGCCAGCACCAAATAAAGGTGGCTTACACCCCTTTTAATGGGGGTGCACTGTGAGTGGATATAGGTGCATGTAGTCACATGGGAAATAGATTTGGCTGGGCAAATGGTGAGGAATGGCACAACATGGAAGAGCGTGTGTTTGAAGGTTTTTTTGGACATTGCATTGGAGGTGTTTTTGAGGAGGTGGCGAGAGGTCCTGCATTTACAAGGACGCCTCAAAGGGCAATGGGAGTAGGTAGACCTCACAGTCAATGTCGGGAATCAAGCTCTGACTGACTGGGAGCAATGCTGCAAGACAAGTAGTTACTGTCAGTAAATGCATCATCAAATGCCTTATCATATCCAATTGAGCCTCAGCCAGAGCTCAATTTCTAACACCTCCATTTCTCATCAGTAAGTAAAAATCAGAACTTGTAACTACCGTTCATATGTTTCACTCCACACACACAGATCTACCGTTGCTGCAAACCTCACACCCACATCTCACAGCTTGCTTACACTCTCATTCTTATTTGTTTATGAGATGTCGTTATTGCAAGCCAGCCCACCATTTACTGTCCATCCCTAATTGCCTTTGAGAAGATGATGGTGAGTTGCCCGCTTGAAATGCGGCAGTCCTTGGGATATAGGAACACCCTCACTGCTGTTAGGAAGGGAGTTGCAGGATCCTGACTCAATGACAGTGAAGGAACGGCAACATTTTTCCAAGTCAGGATGGTGTGTGGCTTGGAGAGGAACTTGAAGGTGGCGGCATTGCCATGCATTTGGTGCTGATATCCTTCTAGTGATGGTGGTCATGGGTTTGCATGGTGCTGTCAGACCGGCCTTGGTGAGTTATTGCAGTGCAGCTTGTAGATGAGACACATTGTTGCCACTGTGCACCAGTGGTGAAGGGAGTGCATGTCGAAGATGCCAATCAACTAGAATGCTTTGGTCTGGATGGTGTCAAACTTCTTGAATCTTGTTGAAGCTACAGTTATCCAGGCAAGTGGAGAAAGTTTCATCCTTATTCCAACTTGTGCATTGCAGGTGAAGGAGGTGACTTACTCACAGCAAAATTCCTAGCTTGACTTATTCTTGGAGTCACTGTATTTATATGGCTGGTCCAGTTCAGTTTCTGGTCAATGATAACCTCCAGGATTTTGATAGTGAGGGATTCAGTGACGGTAATGCCACTGAATATCAAGAGGCAATGGGTTAGTTTCTCTCTTGTTGACAGTGGTCATTGCCTGCCACGTGTATGTCACAAATGATACTTCTCAGTCTAAGTCAGGATAATGTCCAGTTTTGCTGCATATGGACACTGCCTGCTATTCAACCATGGCAGTCACACCACCCAAACAGACTGCACAGCAACAACTGAGACATTTCCATCTTTCTTGCAGAACAAGATGAGTGCAGTAATGAAAGCAGCAGCTATTAACCTGAGGGTGTTAGGCATACCTGTATATCCGACTCCCATGGATCAGCCATTAATGGGACACCCATTGCCAAGGCCATGGCCAGCAATAAGTCTGAAATCAGTGTGCAGCGTTAGTATGTTAAAGTTCACTCAGGGAGTGCACATTACTGTGATAACATGAATCATACCTACTCTTCCTTCTCATGTCCACTTCCACATCCCACAATCACTTCCAATTTACAAACTGGAAATGAATTATGCGTAAAAACTCTTCCTCCTCTCTCCCTTTACCACCACTTTCCCCTTGTGCCTTTTTCCTTCCAAATGCCCACGAGTTTCTGCCTGACTAGGCAGTGGAGGATCAACAACATGAGAGATATGGTGCAGTCATAGCACCATGCAATCATTTCTCACACTCAGTGACCAGCTTGGAATCTGACACTGCGCCTGTGTTAGAGGACAGATTAAAGGCAGGCTGTACAAATAGAGAAGTGTTTGGATACTAGCATACTGCAACCAGCACAGGTACCGATTTGCCAGAGGGTGAGACCACAGGCAGTTTCAGTTGATGGGATTTCGAAGGGACAGCCGACAGAGGAATGTTAATAATGCACAAACACTGTGTGCTTGGTGCATTGGGAAACTGATCAGAAAAGAGTCTAGAGAGGTCCAACACCAACTTAGCACAGGGCCTTTTGGATCGTTTGGATTCTGCCCTTCCCAGCGAGGAAGAGGCGACCAGTTCCATTCACACACTGGCCCGGTCATTAACACAATGTCTGATACACATTGGTACAACTCCCATTGGAGCAGAAGGAGACATCCAACATCCGAGTGCTACAGTGGAAGCTCAGCTCATGGCTGTGTACGGTCAGATGTGACGATGGACTACACTGATCAGAGGAACTTGATAGGTGCCACAGAATTCAACAGATTGGATCGCTGAGCCCCTCCTCTAGGGGAGACCGGCAGTGGCTTTATGGAGAAGAAATCTGCTGTCCTCTGTCAGGAAGGCAGCCTCCCAGCCCTGTTACTCTGCTGTAGGCCCTGCTGTTGGCTGTCAAACAAGCCAGCGCTGACCTCAGCTGTGTATGCTCAGTCTAAAGCTAAACCTCGAGGTACAGAGCTGCATGACATCATCATCCATCTGCATTGTCACCCCACTGAAAGTCACTGGGCCATGTTACAGCTCCTGGACGAGCATTGCATTGGAGCATTGGGATAAGCTAACACAGAGGGAACAGGCACTAAGGGGACTGCACAATCATGTTTAGTTTGTGCTTTTGTGTAACTTAATGCAATTTCATTTAGAAATTTGATTTGGAATGTCTATTTTGTGGTGCCCTTTGGTTTTGCAATGTGCCCAGCGGATAGCTTGGTGAGCAATGCAGTTGTGCATTCATTGACGAAAGGGAAATGGGGCTCCTCTTGCTGCAGTGAGATTTGTTGGACTCATAGAGTTGACCCTTCAGCCCATCAAGTCTGTTTTGGTCAAAAACAAGTACTATCTATTTTAATTGCATTTCTCAGTGCTCAGCTCAGAGCCCCTAGTCCTTGACAGACAGCCCAGGAAAGAGAAGCTTGCTTCCTGTCTTCCTCAGCGGTGATTTCGACTGAAAAGTGTGCAGTGGTAGTGTGTTAAAGTTCACTCAGGAAGTGCACATTACTGTGATAACATGAATTTTTTACATGCATGTGGTAGTCTGGAGATCTGGACTGTGACGCTAGAGGTTCCAACTTCCTTTTCATTACAATGGCTGACGAGGAATCGCCCCCACTCTTACCATTGGCGTGTGTTGAAGGATTTGCAGAGCGACCGTTGACCTTTTTTAGCTGTGTTGTGAATGCTCCTTCCTCAATCAGAGATTCTCTGCGGTGGGATTCAAACCTTGAGCTTCAGTGCTTTGAGGCAGGGACGATATTCACTACACCACAAGACTCATATGAGCTTTAGTACATTTGGATAATTTCCACCTCTGGATGAATAGCTGTTCTGTGCTTCCTCTCAACATCACTGGAAACGCCCAAGTCAACCTGCAGGTCAGGACTTAGCTCTGACAGTCCCACATACCTGCCCCCATACCTCCTCCCTCACCCCCATCCCAGGCCCCAAGAAGACTTTCCACATCAAGCAGATGTTCACCTGCACATCTGCCAATGTGGTATACTGCATCCGCTGTACCCTGTGTGGCTTCCTCTACATCGGGGAAACCAAGCGGAGACTCGGGGACCGCTTTGCAGAACACCTACGCTCGGTTCGCAACAAACAACTGCACCTCCCAGTCGCGAACCATTTCAACTCCCCCTCCCATTCCTCAGACGACATGTCCATCCTGGGCCTCCTGCAGTGCCACAACGATGCCACCCGAAGGTTGCAGGAACAGCAACTCATATTCCGCTTGGGAACCCTGCAGCCCAATGGTATCAATGTGGATTTCACAAGTTTCAAAATCTCCCCTCCCCCCACCGCATCCCAAAACCAGTCCAACTCGTCCCTGCCTCCCTAACCTGTTCTTCCTCCCACCTATCCCCTCCTCCCACCTCAAGCCGCACCTCCATCTCCTACCGACCAACCTCATCCCGCCCCCTTGACCTGTCCGTCCTCCCTGGACTGACCTATCCCCTTCCTAACTCCCTACCTACACTCACCTTTCCTGGCCCCATCCCCGCCTCTTCGACCTGTTTGTTTCCTCTCCACCTATCCTCTCCTCTATCCCTCTTCTATCCGCCTCCCACTCTCTCCCTATTTATTTCAAAACCCCCTTCCCCTCCCCCTTTTCTGATCAACATTAAACTGCAGCCCAGAATGAGTCACTGCCCTGAGGGGTGTAAGGAAAAAGAACTGGAAAAGGAAAACTGTTTCAGAGATAGTAGGAACTGCAGATGCTGGAGAATCTGAGATAACAAGGTGTAGAGCTGGATGAACACAGTGTTCATCCAGCTCTACACCTTGTTATCTTGGAAAAGGAAAACTGATGGTTTTATACACAAACAGCACAATTGAGTGCCTGAAAAAGGCAGAGTTAATGAAATCTCATTGACTCAACGGACATACACCACTGTTAGGGGCAGATGCTTTGATCTCCGGTCTGTGCCCATACCATCAGTGACGTCAGGATGCGCAGTACTGAGAATGGAAACTCATTCCACCTGTTCATTTCCATGCAGAGTGTGTTGGGTAAGTACAGTATTGAACCTGGCTGGGATAGGACACTTGCTGTCAAGCGCACAGTTCAAGATCATCATGTGAGCTGGATGCCTTAGGCACCTTGCGTGTTTTAAACTGTCCCTCAATAAGACGTCAGCACCATCAGATGGGAAGGGGAGGGAGATTGGGATTCCATCATTATTGCCATTTGACAAACATTATTCGATGGTCAAATTCATGATCGGAGATGTACAGCTAAAGAAGGAACAAAACCATTCAACTTAGGATGTCCATTACAGCCCTATAACTGGAGAGTATCTGATTCCTGTTAGAGATCACCATTTTGACCAGTGGTTTTGTATTTGAACCAACTGGTTCAAGGAAAGGCAACCATATGATGCAGATTGATGAAAGTGAGCTAGCACTATTGGCTCTGTCATGAGTACAGTACGCATTTTACTTCTTAAAGAGGAGGCAGAACCAATGCAAGTGTGGAGAGACACGAGGCCTTTTGGACAGGGACTGCAGGATTTGAAATGTGTTTGCTACTTTTAGTATATGTTAGTAAAAATGTCTTCATTTTGACTCTTTCCCTATAGCTGAAGTACAGAGTGAGATTGAACGTATTTTTGAATTGGCTAGGACACTGCAGTTGGTGGCTCTTGATGCAGATACCATAAACCATCCTGCCCAACTTGCCAAAACGTCTCTGGCCCCAATTATTGTCTACATAAAGATTGCTTCACCCAAGGTAAGAAACTTCAGAAATGCCTATAATCGCCTTTAATTTCTTTCCAACAGACAAGCAAGGAACATGAGTAGGACATTTGGCCCCTTCAAGCCTGCTTTGCCATTCAATAAGAATATGGCTGATCTGATTTTAACCTCAACTCTACATTCCTTCATATCTCAATAACCTTTCATCACATTGGTAATCAAGAAAGATTACTTTGGCCTCAAAAATATTTAAAGGTTCAGCATCCACTGCCTTTTGAGGAAGGGAATTCCAAAGACTCACAACCCTCTGAGAGAAAACAAAATCTCTTCATCTGTTTTAAATGGGCATCCTCTTATTTTTAAAGTATGACCCCGACTTCTAGATTCTCCCACAAGGAGAAACATCCTTTTGATATCTACCTGGTCAATTCCCCTCAACATCTTATGTTTCAATTAATTCGTCTCTCATTCTTCTCTACTCCAGAGAGTACAGGCCCAGGCTGCCTGGCCTCTCCTCATAAGGCAATCTGCTCAATCCAGGGATTGGTTTAGCAAACTTTCTCTGAACTGCTTCCAACTCATTGACATCCTTTCATAAGTACGGTGACCAGTGCTGTACGCAGTACTCCAGGTCTAGTCTCACCCATGCCTTATTGTAGAATAATCTCCGTACTCTTGCATTCAATCCTCCTCCTAATAAACCATAAAATCCTGTTAGCTTTTCTGATTATTTGTTGTACCTGCACACCAACCTTCTGTGATTCATGCACTTGGACACCCAGACCTCGCTGCTTCTCATTTCTCTGTAACCTCTTATCATTTAGACAATATGTTTCTTCATTATTCTTTCTGCCAAGATTTCTTGCTTTCCCACATTGTCCTCCATTTGCCAGATCTTTGCCCACTCGATTCTATCTATATCTGTCTGTAAATTCCTCGTGTCCATTCACAACATAAGGCAGGGTATTTACAACCAGCAGGTGGAGGACGAGTTGCTGTCTCGTTTGTTAGAAGCAACATCTATAGATGACTGAGATAACAAGGTGTAGAGCTGATGAACACAGCAGGCCAAGCAGCGTAGGAGGAGCAGGAAGGCTGACGTTTCGCACCCAGCTCTACACCTAGTTATCTCAGATTCTCCAGCCTCTGCAGTTCCTACTGTCTATAGATGACAACCACTTTGTCTTTAGTCAAAAAATGTGGAGCTGGAAAAGCACAGCAGGTCAGCCTGCATTCGAGGAGCAGGAAAGTCAACGTTTCGGGTCGGAACCATTCTCCAGGTCCTGAAGAAGCGTTCCAACCCGAAGCGTTGACTTTCCCACTCCTCAGATGCGATCTGACCTGCTGTGCTTTTCCAGCTCCGCGTTTTTTGACTCTAGTTTCCATCATCTGCAGTCCTTACTATCTCCACTTTGTCTTTAGGGTGGCTTTGCACATCTTCAGTGTGGTTTAACTATGTTTGCACTTAAGAAGCTTTAGGCTGGAAAATAATATTTTATACAAGTATCAGAATTGTTCATCTTTGGGAGCCACCATTTAGATAACTTGATATTTGCTTTCTCTAAATACATGTTTAAAGCTATCCCATTTACCCACATTGAGGGTAAACAGTGGATGTATACCTTGTTAAAATATTACAACAATGTTTCAATCTCAAGACTGCAGATGCTGTAAATGAAAAAACACAATCTGCTTCACAGTAGAGTTGTCGAATAGAGACTGACATGTGACATTAGGATAGGCAATGTAAAACCAAACCAGAGATTGGCTTGAGAGAAAGCCCTTAAGTAACAGAGACAGAGAAGGATATTATTAAACTGGAGAGGGTTCAGAAAAGATTTACCAGGATGTGGCTGGGAATGGAAGGTTTGAGTTATAAAAATAGGCTGGGACATTTTTCACTAGAGCATAGGAGGTTGAAGGGTATAAAGATTTATAAAATCATGACGGGCATAGACAAGGTGAATAACAAGGGCCTTTTCCCTAGGGTGGGTGAGTTCAAAACAAGGGGGCATACTTTTAAGGTGAGAGGAGAAAGAATTATAAAGGAACAACTTTTTTTCACACAGGGAGTAGTTTATGTATGGAGAGGAAGTGATAGATGCAGTTACAGTTACAACGTTTAAAAGACATTTGGATAAGTACATGAATAGGAAAGATTTGGAGGGGTATGGGCCAAATTCAGGCGGGTAGGACTAGTTTAGTTTGGGAACATGGTCGGCATGGTCTAGTTGGACCGAGGGGTCTGTTTCCATGCTGTATGACTGTATGACTCTCCCACCTATCCTTGTGTCATCAGCAAATGTAGCTACTGTACCTTCAATTCCCTTCACCCAAATCATTGATATACATTGGAAAGAATGGAGACCTCAGACTCCTGTGGCACACCATTTGTAACATCCTGACAGCCTGAAAAAGACCCATTTATTCCTGCTCTCTGCTTCCTGTTAGCCTACCAATCTTCAATACATGTCAATATGTTACCCATGCACAAAGAGCTTTAATTTTCCACAATAACCTTTGATGTGGAACCTTATCAAATTCCTTCTGGAAAGGCATTACTACTGAGACAGAGATAGTAAGAAATGCCGATGCTGGTGTCAAAGGTAACAAAGTGTGGAACTGGAGGAACACAGCAGGTTAGGCAGCATCAGAGGAACAGGAAAGCTAACGTTTCAGGTTGGAATTTCTGAAGAAGGGTCCCGACCTGTATTACCAGTGAGACAGACTCCTGTCTTAGGTTGTCCTTTGTCTATTTATTCCTTCCAATGTAACCTTCCATTCCTACTCAACCTTCAGTAATCTTACTACTTCCTATTCTGGTCTCAGGCTCCATTGTTTATGTTGGTAATATGTTTAACCCTGAGATAGGCTTTCAGGAAACGTATCTTTCTTTTATTCATTCAGGGGATGATAGCGTCACTGGCTAGGCCAAAATTAATTGCCCCAGGGCAGTTAAGAGTCAAGCACATTGCTCTGGGTCTGGAGTCACATTTATTAAAGGACATTAGTGAACCAGATGTTTTTTTCTGACAATTGACAATGGGTTCATGAACATCATTAGATTTTCCTTTAAATTAGGATTCTGCTATCTGCTGTGGCAGGATTTGAACCTAGATCCCCAGAACATTGTCTAGGTCTATGGATTAAGAGTCCAGCAATAATGCCACTAGGCAATTGCCTCCTCCTGACACTATCTTTATCTACCGTATCCCTAGGATTGCCTATCCCCATCTCCATATAGTCAGTCCCCTGACTGTCCCTTCTTTACCCCATCTGCTGCTGAAGCCTTTTCCAGTGAACTAGTTAGCTCCAAATTGGACTGCTTCAACACATTTCTGGGTAGCCTCCCACATTCTACCCTTCATAAACTTGAGGCTATTACTCACAACAAGGCTTGTTAACTCATAATCCCTGCGCTCACTGATGTGCAATGTCTCCTGGTTAAGAAACAGTTTGATGTTAAAATTCTCATCCTTATTTTCATGCACCTCTATTATCTTGCACTGCCAGCACCCCCAGCCCCTCCCACTCTTAAATGATGTAATGTCTTTCCACAGCCTTCTGTGATTTCTGTGCTCCTGGAATGCTAGCCTTTATATCAACAGGATTACATTATAAGGATACAGATATTATGCTGAGTATACAAACCCCTGGTTAGAACCCGCTTGGAGTACTGTGAGGAGATCTGGTCACCACACCTTAGGAAGGATTGGTCGACCTTGGAGGGAGTACAGTGTAGATTTACAAGAATGATACTTGGACTTAAAGGGTTAAGTAATAAGTATAAATTATACAATACAAATTAGGCCTGTTTTCCCTAGAAGGATAAAGGGTGACCTGATCAAAGTCTTCAAGATATTAACAAGAAAAAACAGGGTCGATAAAGATAAACTATTTCCACTGGTTAGCGAGTCTAGGACTAGGGTGCACAAGTCTAAGAATTAGACCGCACCATTCAGGAGAGATGTTAGGAAGCACTTCCACACACAAAGAGTGGAAGATTTGGAACTCTCTTCCACAAATGGCAGTGGATGCCTGAATCAGTTGTTAATTTTAAATCTGAGTTTGGTAAGTTTTTGTTAAGTAAAGTTATTAAGTGGAAATGGGCCAAAGGCAGGTATATAGTTAGGCCACAGATCAGCCATGATTCATTGACAGGCATGAGAGAGTGAATTTCCTTTATTCTCCATTCTTAATTCCTTCATCTTTGGTGGCTGGGCATTCAGTCACATAGGCATTTAACTCTGGAATTCTCTCCCTAAAGCCTTGTCTGTCTCTCTATGTTCTTTTCTCTAACACTCTTCTTGCAACCAACCCTTTACGTCTGCTCTCATGCCATCTATCATGGCTCAACGGCATATTTTACTTTATAATGCACCTGTAAACGGCCTTGAGAAATTTTGTTAATCTAAAGGCACTACATGAATGAAAACAGTTAGACAGAAGGTGCTATTTTTAGACATGTCTTCGCCTTTGATAATACTTAGGTGAAGTATGTTTACACCAGGATCTAATGCTAATGTCTGAATCTGAAATTGCTGAAAAAAATATTGCAAAATCTACTGTTGTACATCTGGGTTGTAGGCTTTGTCCTCATCACAATCTCTTTTGTAACTTTCCGCAAATAAGCTATTTGAAATGTGTAAGGGTAGCGTAAAACAGAAAGTCAGCAGGTCTGGCACCATCTGTGTTGTGATGAAGAGTCACCAGACTCTGCTTTCCTGCCACAGATGCTGCCAGACGTGCTGAGTTTCGCCAGCAATTTCTGTTTTTTTTTGTTTCAGATCTCCAGCATTTTCAATTTGTTTATTTATTTTGGTATAACTAGTAGTTCGTATTCGTATATGAAATGTAGAAGATGTCAATAATCCAGACGTAAAAACAAAGTAAAAGTAAAAAACTCTGGCTGCTGGAATTCTGAACTAAGAACAGAAATTGCTGGAGAAACTCAGCAGATCTGGCAGCATCTGTGGAGAGAGAAACAGAGTTAACGTTTCAAGTCTCTTGGAAACATAGTCTAGTGATATCTTGTATTAAATTGTTCAACTACAGAGGTCTAGAAATGTGTACATGGTTACAGTGAGGCATTACTGTGAATCAGAGAAGATTTTAGTGAGGTTAATGTGTAAGTGATGTGTTACTGGTGTATCAGAGTTTTACAGTGCAAGATTGTAGCGAAGGATAACAGTGAGGGGTTACTTTGTGTCAGAGATCACTACAGTGAGAGGTCAGTACACAGTATATGCTGTCTTTCGTAGCAAGAGGTTTCGAGCAGGGATGTCTTGCTTTAATGTACAGTGCATAGGTGAGGCCACACCTGGAGTTTTGTGTGCAGTTTGGTCTCCTTACCTGAAGAAAGATGTTCTTGCTATAGAGAAAATGCAGGAAAATTTACCAAGTTGATTCCTGGGATGGCAGGACTGACATTATGCGGTGAGATTGAATCGGTAAGGATTGTATTCACTGGAGTTGAGAAGAATGAAGGAGCATTCATAGAAACCTACAGAATTTTAACAGGAATAGACAGGGTCAATTTAGGTGGCATGCTCCTGATGGTGGGGATGCCCAGAACCAGGGATCTTAGTTTAAGGATAAGGGGTAAATATCTTAGGACTGAGATGAGTTGGGGGCGGCGCGGTGGCTCAGTGGTTAGCATGCTGCCTCATAGTGCCAGGGATCCAGGTTCAATTTAATCTTCGGGCGACTGTCCATGTGGAGTTTGCCTGTTTTCCCTGTGTCTGCATGGGTTTCCTCCAGATGCTCCGGTTTCCTCCCACAGTCCAAAGATGTGCAGGTTAGGTGGATTGTTCACGGGAAATTGCCCATAGTGTCCATGGATGTGAAGGCTAAGTGGATTAGCCATGGGAATTGCAGCTTTAGGGTGGGGGGAGTGGGTCTGGGCGGGATGCTTTTTGGAGGGTCAGTGTGGATTCGATGGGCCAAATGGCCTGCTTCCCCACTGTAGAGCTTCTGAGGAGAAATTGCTTCACCCAGAGAGAGTGAGCCTGTGGATTTCACTGCTACAGAAAGCAATTGAGGGTGGCACAGTGGCACAGTGTGTTAGCCTCACCGCACCAGGGATCTGGGTTCAATTCCACCCTCAGGTGACTGTCTGTGTAAAGTTTGCACATTCTGTCTCTGCCTGGGTTTCCTCTGGGTGCTCCAGTTTCCTCCCACAGTCCAAAGATGTGCAGGCTCAGTGGATTGGCCATGCCTAAATTGCACTGTCATGTCTAGGGTGGGAAATGCAGGGATGGGGTGGGTCTGGGTGGGAAGCCTTTTGGAGGGTTGGTATGGGCCAAAGGGCATGTTTCCACACTGTAGGGATTCTTTAAAACATTATGTTTTGTTTTCAAGAAGGAGGTAGATGTAGATTTTATGGCTCAAGGGGTCAGGGGACATTGGAAGAGGGCGAGATTAGGATATTGAGCTCAGTGATCAGCCATGATCATAATGAATAGTAGAGCAGCTCAAGGAGTCAAATGATATGCTCCCGCTCCTATCTGCAATGGTTTTTATGTATCTCAGTGAGAGGTTCCATGTGTATTGGAAAGTGTAACAGTGAGGGGTTGTAATGTATCCGGGTTACGGTGAGAAGCTATCATAATGAGCTGGAGATTACTGCTGTACAAGTGCATTATAGTGAGAAGCAGCAGTATGTTAGTGATACATGTGCACTAAAATGTGAAATGACATTAATTGGTGTGGTGAATTTTTGATTACAGGTTTTACAACGTCTTATAAAGTCACGAGGGAAGTCCCAGGCCAAACACCTGAACGTACAGATGGTGGCATCAGACAAACTGGCCCAGTGTCCTCCGGTAAGTATCTCCCAGTCAGACACAGAGGGGTTTCCCTGAACAGAGGGGCACACAGATTAACCAGGGTTTTTCTTTGTCAGGCCTCACTTCTCCAGCATCTTCTTTATCGGTCTGCTCGTGAAGGAATCTGGTAAACTGGGGCTGATTTGGTCAGAGAACACAGAGGTCTAAACAGAGGGGTACCGTGAGGAGGAGATGATACTCTGTTCAGTGTTGCTGAGAAATCCTAAACAAGACTAGAGAAAATAAAAAGTAGCAAAGCTTCTCGCTTGCTTAATTTATTAATGATGAGCTTGTGCAGCATTCTGCAGTAGACTGACCCACAGCGAGAGGGCTGCTATTTCTGTTCTGAGTCAGTGCAGCATCTTTTGCAAGGCATTTAGTTCGCTCGCCTTTATTGGTCAGTGCATTGAGTATAGGAGTTGGGAGGTCATCTTGTGGCTCTATCGGACGTTGGTGAGGCCACTTTTGGAATACTGTGTTCAATTCCAGTGTCCCTGATATCGTAAAGATGTTGTTAAGCTTGCGAGGGTGCACAAAAGATATACAAGGATGTTGCTAGGGTTGGAGGGTTTGAGCTATAGTAAAAGGCTGAGACCTTAAAAGAGACCTAAGGGCAACTTTTTCATTCAGAGAATGGTGCATGTATGGAATGGGCTGCCATGGTAAGTGATGGAGGCAGGTACAGTTGCAATATTTAAAAGGAATCTGGATGGGTACATGAAGAGGAAGGGTTAAGAGGGATAAGGGTCAAATGCTGGTAAATGGGACTAAAGTAATTCAGGACATCTGGTCGGGATGGATGAGTTGGACTGAAGGGTCTGTTTCCGTGCTGTACAGCCCTGTAACTATTTCCTTCGACTACAATATATACTGTGTTGCTAATTTATAATTGTGCCCACTAGTGAGCCCTTCTTTATATTGTAGAGCTTCTTCCAATTAATTGATGCTGTCTTTACTCCGTGAATAAGACATTTGCTGCTTTGCTTCAGTGGCAACAATAATGCACCGGTTATCTCTGTGGTAGACCTTATAAACATGTGCTTGGACAAGGCAGTGAATATACATTTTATTTAAAGTAATTGGCATTCAGCCATTTCCCTCTCCACAGAAGGGCTAACCAGTTTTGGGGATTTAGAACTATATATGCCAGTCCCACCCTGCCAGCTTTTAGTGAATCCAGGGCAGTGAAGCCCAAGTCAAATGGTGAAGTCTGAAATTAGACACAGTCCATTTCCTAATAGTTCCTTTATTTATAGAATGCAGCAAATCAAGTCAATGAATTAACGAGCTGAGAGCCACTGAAGGGAGCATCATGAGAAAAACAAAGGTTTGAATTGAATGTACTTCCCAGAGCTGGTGATGGACTCCAGGCCCCGTGGTGTCAACTGGTCATGAAAGGCCTCAAGTGTATCAGTGAACAACCATGTTCTTCCTCTCCAGGAATGACACTCTCTCTTTACAAGTGCTCAAAGTGCTTTGTTAAACATTGCTCTTCACCAGTGCATCTTAACAATACAGTTGGCACATAATTAACAGGCAGCAGCGGGGGGAAAATAGTCAAGGATGCACACTGTTCCTTCCAAACCTTCCCACTCTGCTTTCCAGCTGGCAGTGCATTCAGGGTGAAATCGACCTCAAGAGGGCAAACAAATCACAAACTTCCACCGAGTTTCCCTCAGTTATTCAGTGTGAATGCTGGAGCTGCAGACCACCTTTCAGTGTTCAGTTGGAATTGAGGAATGGTATTCAGCCCATCATGCCTGTTCTGACATCACAGAGATAGTAGGAACTGCCAATGCTGGAGAATCTGAGATAACAAGGTGTAGAGCTGGATGAACACAGCAGGCCAAGCAGCATCGTAGGAACTGTTAGAAACATAGGAACATAGATAACTGTTCTGACATTCTGTTGGGTTGAAGCTGACCTGTGTCTCATTTCCATTTGCCCGCTCTGGTTCCACAAGCCAGTGGTGAACAGAATTAAAATTTGGGAAGTGAGCTTCCAAACATAGCCATCCAGCAGCACTGTTCATTCTTATTAGACCATAAGATATAGGAGCAGAATTATGCCACTCAGCCAATTGAGTTTGCTCTGCCATTCGATCATGGCTAATATGTTTCTCAACCCCATTCTCCTGCCTTTTCCCCGTAACTTTTGATCCCCTCACTAATTAAGAACCAATCTGACTCTGTCTTCTGCATGTCCATTGTATCCAGGCCTCTTAGTACTGTGTATCAATCAGATCCGCACTCATGCATCTAAACTCCATCGAGTCCGAGTCCTCAGACTCTGAGTCCTCAACCTCTCCTCATATGTCAAGCCCTTCATCCCTGGGATCGTTCTTGTAAACTCCGTCTTCAAAGCCAGCACATCCTTCCTTAGATACAGGGCCCAAAACTGCTCACAATATTCCAAATACACTCTGACCAGAGCCTTGGAAAGACTCAGCAGTACATCTCTGCTCTCATAGTCTAGCCATCTCAATGCAAACATTGTATTTGCCTTCCTAACTGCCAACTGAACGTGGATGTTAACTTGAAGAGAATCTTTAACTAGGACTCCTAAGTCCCTTTATTCTGCAGATTTCTGAACCATTTCTTCATTTAGGAAATAGTCTATGCCTCTATTCTTCCTACCAAGTGCATAACCTCTCACTTTCCCACATTGTATTCCATTGCTACTGCCTTGCCCATTTTCCACTGCCTTGCCCATGTTCCTAGCCTGTCCAAGTCCTTCTGCAGCCTCCCCATTTCCTGAGCACTATCTGCCCCTCCACCTATGTTTGTATTGTCTGTGAACTTAACAACAATGCCCTCAGTTCCTTCATCCAGATTGTTAATGTATAATGCAAATAGTTGTGGTCCCAACACTGGACCCTGTGGAATTCCACTAGTCACAGGCTGCCATCCCTTTATCCCCTCCATCTGCCTTCTACCAGTCAGTCAATCCTCCATCAATGCTGGTACCTTGCTCCTAACATCATGGAGCAAAAATAATAATGTTCAGAGATTCTGGGTAGGCACCTGGTATTCCATGCGAGCAGCATTCTCAGAAGCTGAAACTGTATCTGACTTTTCCTTCTCTCCCTCCCTTGACCATGGGTTGCTCAAGACCATCATCACACCGGCAGAGACCAATTAACTCAGACCAAAACAAGCAGCAAATATTTGCCTGTCCCTAGTTTATAATGAGTTTAATGTTGTCCACAACAATGACTGAATTTGCCAACTTAGGGATTTTTGAAACTTCACCGCCATTTTATTTTATATTTCATTTTCTGGATGGCTCAGCTTGCAATTATTAACTGTCCCTGTTGACCATTGAGAATGTGATAATGAGCCATCGTCTGGAACTGTTGTCGTCTGTGTGGAACAGAGACACAGCGCTGTTAGGGAAAGAGTTCAAGAGTTCCAGGATTGTGACCTAGGGACTGGCGATATATTTCCAAATCCAGATAGTGAGTGGTTTGGAGGGGAACCTGTAGGTAGTGGTGTTCGCAAATATCTGCTGGGTGGCTGGCCCCTTGTCTGCTTTTATCTTTCTAAACGGAAGTGATTGTGGATTTGGAAGGTACTCTCTAAGAGCCTTTGTGAATTTTTCAAGTGCAAGTTGTGGTGGGAGTGAATGTTTGTAGCTGTGGTGCCAATAAACAGGCTGCTTTGTCCTGGATGGTGTCAAGCATCTTGAGTGTTTTTGGAGCTGCACCCATCCAGCCAAGTGGGGAGTATTCCATCACACACCTGACTTGGTGCCTTGTAAATGGTGTGTAAGCTTCAGCAAGACAGGAGATGAGTTATTCACTGCAGAATTCCTAACCTCTGACAAAAACTGCATTCACCTCTCTAGACAGGAGTATATACTATTTAAAACAAAATTCATGGGATGTGGGTCTTGCTAGCAAGACCAATATTTATTGCCTGTCCCTCTCCTGGGGGAGGTAATGGCCTTGTGGTATTATCTCTAGATCTATTAATACAGAGACCCAGGTAATGTTCTTGGAACCGGAGTTCAAACCCCACTATGGCAGATGGTGGAATCTGAATTCAATAGTAAAAAAAATCTGGAATTAAGAGTCCAGTGATGACTATGAATCCATTGTCAATTGTTGGAAAAACCCACCTGGTTCACTAATATCCTTTAGGGAAGGAAGCTGCCGTCGTTACTTAGTCTGGCCTACAAGTGACTCCAAACCCACAGCCATGTGTTTGACTCTCAGCTGCCCTCTGGGCGACTAAGGATGGCCAATATTTGCTGGCATAGCCAGTGATGCTCTCATCCCATGAATGAATAAAAAAAAATAGCCCTTGCAAAGGTAGCAGTGAACTGCTGCAGTCCTTGGGGTGTGGGCACACCATTTGTGCTTTTAGGAAGGGAGTTCCAGGGTTTAGGCCCAGCGACTCTGAAGGAATAGTGATGTGGTTCTTCATCAGGCTGATGTGGTTTGGGGAGCTTGACGATGGAAGTGTTCCCATGCATCCTGTCCTTCTAGATCACAGAGGTTGCAGGTTTGAAAGGCAGCATCAAAAGACTCTTGCATCTACTGCTCAGGTGTTAGATAGGCTGTTGTATTTGTTGCCTGGTATTAGAGCCATTGACTCTGATGAATGCGGAGACAATGGAAGGTCGGGAAATAAAGGAGGACTCAGTCTTCTGAATGTTTGCTAACATTTTCTTCCATTGCAGGAACTGTTTGACATAATCCTGGACGAGAATCAATTGGAAGATGCTTGTGAGCACCTCGCTGAGTACCTTGAAGCCTATTGGAAGGCCACCCACCCAGCCAGCTGCAACCCCCCCAACCCTCTTTTGAACCGCACCATGGCAACGGCTGCCCTAGCTGCCAGTCCAGCACCAGTGTCCAACTTACAGGTACAAGTCCTCACTTCTCTCAGGCGTAACCTTGACTTCTGGGGCTCAAGTGACGATGAAAACAAAGAAGCCACAAAACAGCAGACGGAAGCAGAAGATACAGTCTAGCCATGAAATGTACAGAAAGGAGAGAGAGAGAGAGCACAGTGGTGTGGTGTTACTTTAAACAAGTCTTCCCAACTCCTGTCTCAATTTGTGACCCTTTTTACTAGAATGTAGTTGCATGTTGATGTTCGCTAACCATGCATTTTTCTTTTGGTAAGGAAAGAAATGACACTTGAGAAAAGAAAGTGGTGCCAATTAAGAAAGGGACACTTTTTTTTCTTCAGTGACAGGCAATCCCATTTGTCAATGGTGCATTGTTTGTGGTTCCTTTTCTGTTGTTCCATTTGTGTCATGTGAGCAGCATGCAATTTATGAGCCAGCATTTCTACTTCAGGCACATTCCCGATTAGTAGTTAGAGCTGGACTGCACAGACCATGCAGCAGAGAGTTGTATTTGAGGGAAAAAGATGTCCGTGTGACGTACAGAGTGAGCAAACCCTGATTTGTATTTAGCCACACCAAGCTGAGCTGACATAAAACCATGAGGTACATCAGCAATTGCCTGAAGCATCAACATTGTAAGATCATGTTGGAGGCTCTTCAGAAGGTATAAGAGTACTAAAAATACATTTACACTTTAACTTCAGTTTTTGCCAAAATTGCAGTGCAACTCAGAAGTCATGTTGTTACCAAAGTCCACGGAGAGGTTATTTAAGTCACAAAGAGACTCCAGACAAACCTGACTAGTGTCTGGATCTCCTGAATACTTGTTAAATGTGAGCAGTGTTGATTTGTAGAATGCAGGCACTCCCAATCAAGCATTTAAAGTATTGAACGTGGCAACAGCCACTTTGGGAAATCTGCCTACTGACCTCTGACTGATAACTAGAAAGTAAATGCATGTTAGAGGGATTGCAACTGCAGAGGAATTTTGTACTATACGTAACAATATCTCATAGTTGACCCTTTCAGGTGTCTCTGTCATCTGCTATATTGTGGAGGATTAGCGTAAATGGAGGATATACATTTTATTTTCTGAAAATTGTTTGAATTCTAGAAATTAAATGATATGTATCTTTTCCTGGGGACCCATGCAATGCCTTGTATCTGTGCATTTGAGTTCTGGGTTTGCTCTGTGAGCTCTGGAGCTTTGTACATACAGTGTGTATGGACAGTTCTTTCGGTGGCATTATTCACCCAATGGATTGAGACTGGAATAAATCTCAATGTTTAACTGCAGTATCCTGGCTTTAGAGGACAAAACCTCTTGCAGCAAAGTAACATGGATTGCAATGGTTACAAAGCATTGAGAGTAAGATTTTAGATGTTGAGGGGTAGGCCACAACAAATAACAGACTCACACTCCTCTGACATACTTCAGCATTTTCAACATTCAAACAGTTTTGTGTTGTTTAACCACTCCTTCACTGTGGCACACTCTGTATTTGAAGAGTTTTTGAGTATTGTGTGTGTCAAATTAATGTGTATGCTACTTAACAAAACTCCATGACAATTCAGAATAGTGTTCCAGGTATTTGATGCTCTTGTATTTCCAAAACATAGCTTACAGACATATAGTCACCGAACAAAAAAAGTTCCAGGTATTACAGGGAGGGGCAATTTCATGAGAGGCGAATAAACCAAGACAAACTCTGGACTCAGTAGGAAGTTACGTGAGTCTAACTATAGACCGTCCTCAGAGTGAGTCAGTGCCCTCAGGAAAAAATTAGAAAGAAGAATGCAACTGAAGGTTTAAAATTTTAGTAGAGTCCATATACTTTTTTTTTGCAACAAGCTGGTCTTTGCCCGTTTATTCCTGGGTTAGTCGATACCGCTGTAACTGTGTTGTGCATGATATTAGTTCTGAGAAATCTGCTGTCAGCAATTTCACCTGCAACTGTTGACTCATGGCTTTCTCCCGGGGTTGGGAATGAACTGCGGCTGAGAGTAGATGGCCTGTGCTGAGTCAGTCAGCAGGAGGTGCCCGAGAGGAGGTGGATGGTGGGCTGTAGCACCCTGTTTGGGAACAGCGGCACCTATTCTGAGGCGCTCACTAGGCTGAACCAGAGCCTATAGAAGGCGCAGGAATGACTTTAAGGCAGACCTTACAGAAATAGCTTCTCCACTGTGGAATGCAGGTTAAATGTTGCTGCCTGTGAAAACTTGAGGTTAGAACAATTTTACTAGAATTTGCATGAAGGGAAGAACAGACCTGCAGGCTTGTTCAATGCTTATTCAACTTTGCCCATGAGTTGCTGCTTTCCTGAGAGTAGGGGAATAAAATTGAGTCCAGGCCTGACGTTGAGACTGGATTAGGCAAGGCACAAGCAGTTTCAACTTGAGTAAATGTCGGTTCAGGGTCCTCCCCTGAATAATTAGAGTGATCTGCCTCGCTGTTTGTGTATCTGTGGGTCACTCTGACAGAGATGTCGATTTTGGGTTGCCTAGCAACCAACAGTGGGCCTCGGGTTTAGGTGGGGATGGTGTGAAGCAGACAGTGGAGGAAAGCAGGGTTGATGCAGACTGTTGGAAGGGAAGGAAGGGGAAGGCAGTTGTGACTCCTGTTTCTTCCCAGCTCCAAAGAAAAGCAACATTTTTAACTCCATATTATTCGCAAGTTTCAAAGGGTCCCTTTAACAGAGGTTACACACCTCATTAACATTTTCAAGGCAGCTAATGCATGCAATTGCTTAAAACCCATGAGTTTGGCAGTAAGGCTAACACCTACAGTTTTTAGGACACAGGACGTCCTGTGGCTACATTAATACACTCTCTGCTGTTTTATGCATCTCAGCCAGTACATCATTTTTGGTTTAGTACATTTGCAATTATGATTTTTGCAGAGGGCTGAGCAGACCATTGATTTGTTACGCGGAATCTGCACCTTGAATTTCTCCAGGGATTTCCCTGGCAAGGTGATGAGCAGGACACCAGAGGGAAACAGAGAAAACAGCTGCTTCTTTGAGGACCCAACCAATGGATCGAACATTGCATCAAAAGAACCCCACAGGAATTCACAATCATACTGTTTACCATTCTTTGATCAAAATTCCCTTGTTTTAGGATGGGTTCATCTGTTCAGATAAGCTCAGGCCAGACCTCCGGGTGTTTCTTCAAACTATTTATTAATATCATATACACAAGGTTCTTCCAGTAGATATCGCCGGTCTACATATTTTCCTCACCAACTTGTTTAAGCATGTCATGATGCACCTCTGGAGCAGGTGAGACTTGTACCTGGGCCTTCTGGCTAGGGACACTACCACAAGAGCCCTCCTCTCTATTGTTGTTCTAAGCTGCTCTAGTTCCAACCGTCTAGCAGAGTTTCTCTCACATGACTGCTAAGGTTACAGTTAGATCACAGCATACATCAGAGACTTGTCTGCATATTTATTAAGCCATGTATCTACACCTTCCATCGCGACAATCTGTGGCAAACATGCAGCACAGGCCATTCAGTCTATCTAGCCTGTGCTGGCCTTTGTGCCCTGTACGGATTTCCTCCCATCCCTCTTCAGCTAACCTTATCAACATCGCCCTTTATTCCTTTCTCCCTCATTTGCTGGTCTAAGTTTCTCTTAAAACTTTATCAATGTGTGGCTGTGTTAGATCAGTCTAGTTTTTTAAGCTGTCAAATTGCTAATTTTATGTGTTGCTTGTGTGGCTAAATTCAAATTGTGCAATAATTCCAGTCCCTTTTTGTAGAGGAATTGAGATAAACCGTTCCCACTTGTTAAAGGATGGCGAGCGAGAGAACACAAAGTTCATGTAGTTATTAAAAGAAGCGACAGTGGTATGAGGAAAATCTTTATCATACAGTGAGTAATTAGGGTCTGGAAGACACTGCCTGAGAGCGTGGGGAGAGTTAGTTTTGACTGAGGTTTGCTGAAGAGAGTTGAACATTTATCTGGAAAGGAAGAATGTGCAGGCCTCTGGAGAGTTGGTAGTGAAATGGGACTCGATGAATTGATCATTTGAAGAGACATTGCAGATAATGATAAACCAAAGATCTCTTCTTGTGCCATAAAAGTCCAGGGAATAAGAGGAGTGACTGTAAAAGTCCATTCAATCTAGTTATATATTCTTCCAGATTTTCTAGTTGCAGACCAGCTCCTAAGATATTGTCAATCTGGTAATAAACTGGTTAATGAGTTGTCTGAGACCGTAAGACCATAGGATATAGGAGCAGAATTAGGCCAATCAGTCCAATGAATCTGCCCCTCCAGTCAATCGTGGCTGATATGTTTCTCAACTCTATTCTCCTGCCTTCTCCTTGTAACCCTTGATCCCTTTACCAATCAGGAACCTATCTCTTTCTGTCATAAAAGCACTCAATGGCTTGGCCTCTATAGCCCTCTGCAGCAATGAGTTCCACAGATTCACCACCCTCTGGCTGAAGAAATTCCTCCTCATCTCAGCTCTAAAGGGTTGACCCTTCACTCTGAGGCTGTGCCCTTGGGTCCTAGTTTCTCCAAGGAGTGGAAATGTCTTCTCCACATCAACTCTATCCAGGCCTTTCAGTATTCTGTCAGTTTCAATCAGATCCCCCCACCCCCATCCTTCTAATCTCCATTGAGACAGACCCAGAGTCCTTCTCTGCTCCTCATATGATAAGCCCTTCATCCCCAGGATCAGTCTTGTAAACCTCCTCTGGACCCTTTCCAATGCCAGCACATCCTTCCCTAGATACAGGGCCCAAAATGCTCACATGCAGTCTGACCAGAGCCTTATACAGCCTTAGCAGTACAACCCTGCCCTTATATTCTAGCCCTTTTGAAATGAACACTAACATAGCATTTGATCTGCTAACTGCCAACAAAACCTGCATGTTAACCTTAAGAGAATCCTGAACTAGGACTCCCAACTCCCTTTGCACTTCAGATTTCTAAAGCCTTTTACCATTTTGAAAATAGTCTAGCCTCTACTCTGCCTACCAAAGTGTAGAACGTCACATTTTCCCTCAAAGTATTCCATCTGCCATTTCTTTGCCTATTCTCTTTGCCTGTCCAAGTCCTTCTGCAGCCTCCTCGCTTCCTCAACAGTATCTATCCCTCCACCGATCTTTGTATCACCTACAAATTTGGCAACAATGCCCTCAGTTCCTTCATCCAGATCATTATACAATAACGTAAACAGTTGTGGTCCCAACTCTGCCCCCTGCGGAACTCCAGTAGTCACCAGCTGCCATCTCTCTACCTTCTGCCAGTCAGTCATCCTTCTATCCATGCCAATACCTTGCCCTTAACACTTTGGGCTCTTATTTAACAGCCTCCTGTCCAGCACCTTATCAAAAGCCATTTGGAAATTCAAATAGATCAAACAGGACTCCCCTGTGCCCTGTTTTAAAACTGACTAATAGCTGCATTACAATATGGCACAAAGGAATTTTACATCATCTCATCCACTGTTACACAACCAGAGGAGTTCAAACCTCAAAGAATTGAGCCCAGTAACCTCATAAAACAACAATGTCAATACAAAAGGGAAAAGAAGGTGTATTTATGTACTAATAAAGCCTATATCCCTCTATCCCTGCTGATATGGGAGTAGAGACAACTCATTAAAATAAATTTGGGTATGTCCATGGAATCCAGAATCACAGAATTCACAGAAGGAGGCCGTTCGGCCCATTGTGCCTGTACTGGCTTTCCAAACAAGCATCATGACCTTGTGCCAACCTCCTGTATTTTCCCATATCCTTGTACACAATTTCATGCACACTCCACGCAGAGGGATATACAAACTGCCTGCAGGCCTGTGCCCACATTCAGGTACACTTACAATTTTGATGCAGCTAATTCTTTACAAAAGTTTACAATGTTAATATCGGTTTTTGAGTATTTGTCTTGTGGCTCCCTGCTTTGTTGCCTGTGTGTGTCCTTAAGTTCCAATTAGTTCCAACGATGGGACAAGAGTAAAATCGAAAAGGGATCAATTTTAACCTGACTCTGATGTCAGGGAGGCTGGCTGGATTGGGTGCAGTGCTGCTTCCACAACGCATCTGAATGCACTGTCCATTGGTGTCAAACAGTTCCCCTGTGTGTTTCCCACCCACTGTGGGTTAGATTAAAGTGATCCCCTTAGATTGACTAGCAGTGCCGTGTGGCCAGGAGAATACAAGCAAAGTCAAGGGCTGTTGAGCCAGATTAGGAGATCTTACCATGCAGTGGGCAGTGCCCCTGAACTGGAAGCTCCAAGTTCCTTCGGCCAAACAGGCTGAGTATCACCTTGTAATTGCTTCCAACATGAACCACTGGTAGGCAGTAAGAAAGGGAAATACCAGCCGTGTGGTGGAAAGAAATCGAAGCCACTGTCCAGGTGACTTCACCTGATGAAGGAGCAGCGCTCCGAAAGCTTGTGATTTCAAGTAAACCTGTTGGACTATAACCTGGTGTCCTGACTTTGTCCACCCCAGTCCGACACCGGTGTCCCCACATCAGGTTACAACACGCATGGAAAGGTATAAGTTTCCAGAACAACTCAGGGTCCTTTGGGGAGGAATGGAGGTAAACTGAATCAGACGCTGGAGGGTTTCAGCTGGATTTGGGACCTCCCTCCTTGCAGTGCCCATGTTGGATGTTGTGGTCCTTTGGATCAGACCTGCCTTCATGCAGAGAACTCAAGGGTAAGATTCCGTCTGAGGGAACCCATGGTCTTTATGCCCCAGAAAACGACGTTGAGAAATAGATTGATGCCACTCAGAGCACTTGGGTAAACCTTGTTTTTGCCTGCAGCATGGGTGGTCCGGATGGGGGCAAATACAACAGACAGAAAATGCCAGAACCATGCTGTGTCTGAAGGAGAGTGACAGTTTCACTCAACATAAATCGTAGCAGTTGCTTATGGGTCCAACTAAATCCTGACTGACGGAGCTCCTCTGCATTCAGAGCATTTTCTGGTCTTTTGTTCCCAGTGTTCGGTATTGGTAAGGCTTTCTCTTTTAGCCAATACAGAGATGGTTGTGCTCAGAAAGTTGAAAGTAATTTCTGATAATTGGTGTGTATTCCTCTTGGAGCATAGCATCAAGCAAGCGTTCGTGGATCAGCAGCATGGAGTCCATCTGATTTTTTTTTCTATTATTGAATTCATTAGATTTACACTGAAGGCAAAATGTAGAACAGACTCATGATTCATTTTTGCCTGTTTCTGACTACTGCCCAGGCCTAATTTATACCCCAAATCACCAGCTATTTTGAATGTTCTTGCCTTGTGCATAACGTGAAGCGTACATTATATTTCAATGTAAAGTTAAAAATTCAGACACCAGCTTTCAAAGTTTAAGATTTTCATTTTCTTCCATGACACTTTTAAAGTGGTAGGTTTTGGCAGCCCCTTGCAGGTTTCCTGTTTCCTGTTGAAAGGTCGAAGCAAATTTCAGACAAGGCAATCAATGGTTGCTCTCTGCAGTGCTGCAGATGGTGCTGTCTCACACAGGGTAACCATACTGTTCAGCTGCAAAGGGCAAGGATACATTGGTTAATTGGCTTCAGCCTGGGCAGCAGTATTGTTGCCACTGTGGTACAATGGAAATAAATATCAGACGTCACATATAATGGTTGGCTGATATCATCCATTTGGTGCCACTTCCCCAAAGCAAATCCCTATTGCATATTCTTCTTCTTAAGATTATAGAAGATGTAAGTCACAGAAGTAGGACTCTTCACACAAACAGTCCAGGCCAATGTTTGTGCTCTACTCAATCATCTTTCCTTGTTTAAATTTACCACTGTAACCAACCATTCCCTTCTACTGCTCCCTTAATCAATGTTCCATCTAATTTGTGTAGCCTTGCAGCTGCTTTGAGGATGTGGACATGCCAATACATTCACTTCCCATTTCTCCAGCTGCTCCTCTGCACGGAACACAGAAGGGCGTCTATACTATACACTTCAACCATTTTCTGTGGGACTGAGTTCCTCATTCATAACAACACAAGGATGAGAAGCAGGACGAGGCAATTCAGCCCCTTACTTCTGCTCTGCCATTTAATATGATCATGGCTGATCTCAATCTTGGCCTCAACTCCACTTTCCTGCCCACACTCCATAACCCTTTAATCTGTTAAATATCTGTCTGTCTCCTGACTTTACTCAATTCTCACCAGTGTCTGGGTAAAGAGGTTCTGTTTGAATTCCTCTTTGGATTTCTTGGTGACTTTATTATTAATGATCTCAGGGGGAGGCAATGGCCTGGTGGTATTATCACTGGACTGTTAATCCAGAGATCCAGATAACATTCTGGGGACCTGGGTTTAAATCCTGCCACGACAGGTGGTGGAATTTGAATTCCATAAAATATCTGGAATTAAGAATCTAATGATGACCATGATCCATTGCTGTTTGTCAGGGGGAAAAACCGTCTGGTTCACTAATGTCCATTAGGAAAGGAAACTGCCATCCTTACCTGGTCTGGCCTACATGTGACTCCAGACCCACAGCAATGTGGTTGACCCTGGGCAATAAATGCCACCTAGCCAGAAGCATCCTCATCCTGTTGACGAATAAAGAAACAAAAAAAATCTTATGCTACTCCCCACAAAATAGAAACACTCTGTATCCATTATACAAAACCTCTTTGTAATTTTAAAGATCTCCATTAGGTCACCCCTCAACCACCATTTCTTTCAAAAGTAAAGAGAAGCAGTCTGTCTTCCTTAACTGATAGGAACACCACGCACTTTCTTTTGCACGTGTTTGTTGGTATCGCTGGTTTAGGTTATTGCTGTGAGTCTGGAGTCACCTGTAAGCCTGACCAGGTGAGCACTAAAGACGTCTTTCCCCAAAGGACGTTAGTGAACCAGATCCGATTTTTATGGCAATTGACATGGTCAACTCACTTTAGAATTCCAGTGTTTTTTTTTGTCTTATTGAATTCAAATTTCACGATTTGCTGCAGTGGGGTTTAAACCCACACCCTCAGAATATCACTCCAGCATTCTGGATTCCTGATCCAGTGGCAATACCACTACACCTCCACTTCTTTTCTCCGGGTACAATCCTTGTAAATCTTCATTGCATCCTCTCCAGTGTCTCCAAACCATTTCATAATACGTTGACCAGAACCCCACACGCCTGTATTCTAAGTGTGATCCATACAAAGTCCTTAATCCTTCCTATCCTCAATAAGTTAGGTCCAGGTCCCTACACCGGCCACCAGGAATGAGAAAATGCTTCACTTTAAGTTGCCGTTTTATTTCTGGATTAGTCTAATTGGAACTTAATTCATAGAATTACTAACAGTGGAAGTCCATGCTGATGCTGCTAAAATGCAGGTTTCTTTTAAAAGAAATGTGTTTCTTGAGCTTTGTATTTAACTCGTTAAAAGAAAGAGAACTGATGGGATTGTTTGTGTGTCCATGTTGCTGTTGACCTGCATTATTAATCTGCTGTAAAAGACTGTGCTTGTTGTTTATTGTTAACCTATGTTTGTTTTCCACCTCCCCAAACCCATCCCCTCCCCAATTCTCTCTCTGCATGGTGTGCTGCTACTAACTAGGGTCCCTACTTAGTGCATGGAGAGCAAAGCATTGACTGTTCGGCTCCTGACTTGCATGACTATCGGAATGACTCTACCAAACAGCCCTACCATCGCTTGTCATCCTCCACGCCTCAGTACAGCCACCACCCGCGGGCCATGCCCCGGGGTCTCTCCCGCCAGGACACCTTTGACTTGGGGACACAGGGCAGCCGGGACTCGGCCTACACCGAGCCAGGGGACTCCTGCGTGGAAATGGACCCTTACGACGACCCGGAGCTCTCGGAAGAGCCTCGGAGTACCGGTGCTCGCTGGTGCAGCATCTCAAGGCAGCAGGTCCGGAGGCAAGAGTCCTGGGAGGAAGAGGAGGAGGAGGAGGAAGAGGAGAGGGACAACCTGAACAGACAGCAGAGGAACCGACTCAAAGCCAGAGAGCGCTACAGGCAAAACAACGAGGAGGTCCTATCCCGGAAACAGAGCGATATGGAGGAGTGGAACCGTGATGTGTACATTTGCTAAATTGTCTCCTGTTCTTCCCACCACTACCACCATCCCCTCAACCTTTGGAGAGTTTTATCTTGTCGTGCTGACTGTCAATCCAAAAAAGAATAAGAATTTGGAGCATTCCTCCTTCCCAGTCCCTCTCGATCATCGTCACCTCCCTCCTGTTGATTGATTTGAACATTTTACGTAGGAGAGGGGATTTTACATTCAATGCCACGTCTCCCCCTCCCTATTTATTTATAGTGCCTCAGTACTGGGTCTGCAAAGGTATCCGAACCAGAGATGGCGTATTGTTAACCCTTTAAAGGACTAACACTGTCGATGAACACATTTGAGTCTGTATTTTGCATTACAGCTACACCTCTATTTGTTTTTTGCAACAACGTAACCAGCCAGTGGATTGGTGGTAATCGGATTTTGATCGCTAAAACGAGACAAATCCACCCAACAGCCAAAGCCATCTCACTTGTCTCACTGGAGCTTTTGTAGATCTGTTTCTTTTTGGTAGATCAGGGTGATACGTTGCTGGGTGTGAAATGTGTAAAATCCTATTATAAACACGCAAGAATGCATGGAAGCATGAAGTTAAAAGGTTGGAACCTTTTAAAAGTGGCTCACACATGGACCACTTATCCTAAGAGAATGTGCCCTTTTATTCACTCATCCTTGTTTACATGAATTTACAAATCAAGGGTGGTCTCAGAGGGAGGAGAGGGGAGCGATGTTATGTTGTCTGCTACACTGCTCTTTTTTTAAATCCCATTCTCTCTATATTTAATGGGTAATTAGTAGTACCTATTTATTAAGTCCCCTTTCACAATGGCAAACCCTTCTCTCCCCATTTCACCTCTCCCAAGTAATTTTCGACAGGGAGGAGGTGAGTGAAGGATTATCTAAACATGTGAAGCTACATGTTTTTAACCAACCCTTTCAGACATGTATTACAGACCTTTAGGGCAGGTGGGACTTGAATCAGCACCTTCTAGCCCAGAGTTTGGGACACTACCACGTTGCAACAAGAGCTCCAACTTGTTATACTGTTGTTAAAGGGAGTATTGTGTGGAATCTATTCCTTCCCTCCACAACAGTGCAGACTGTTTCATTCATTTAAGCATTGACTGTACTGATTAGGAATGCTGCTGGATTCTACATTCAGACTGCATGTACACCCTGCTGTGTCTGTCTGACCATGTTGGTCAGTCAATTGTTTACAATCTCGGAGCTTGAATTTGCAAAAGACACGGGCTGTCTTGCCACTTTGGGGGAAGCGAGTCGAAGCTAAAACTGGGATTATTATTTTGCCGTGGCCAAGGCATTCAGTGGGATTGAGAGAGGGTCAGTGACTCACTTTGAAGGGGCTTCCCAGGTCACTGTCCTTTCATTACAGCTAGCATCTCCCATTCGGGAATGATGGGCCATCAGCCTTTGTTAGCCTGGGGGTGGGGGGAAGGGGTCTCTGAAGGGTAATTTATGCCAAAATTTAAAAATGCATAGAGTAATAAATACTTGGAAGTGATTTAAAAGGCAGTAATGTAATCAGGGGATTAACATGATGCCCTATAGCAGGGGAGATGGAACAAATGAACTGAGTTGGACACTTACCTTTGAGACTTGACCTTAATCTAAACCAGACTCCTACCATGAAAATCTCCCTTTCCTGTTTACTAAAGGGACTAAAGTGTTTAGAATAACTTTTATCCAATTCATTGCATTCAGGAGAGTTACCGCAAGGTTATCTGTGATTTAACTCTTAAATAGATGCAAAGTTGATCTCTTCGCTATTGAGTCATGAAAATAGCTCCTGGAATGGAATAAAGCTGGACACTGTTTCAGTACGGTGCAAATATTTGGTGGTTTGGGATGAAAGTACGGGTCAGATCATAGGGAGCTTGATTGTGCCAAAGCAAAGTAGATGGTTATGCACGGTGAGAGCCAGCTGCCAAAATGGAAATACTAAAATAGTTGTCCAAAAACAAATTAACAAAAACAGAAAATGTGAAGCTCTAGGAAGTCATTGCCCAGATCCCATAATTAAATAATGGCCTTTAAAATCACTCCCTATTGTCTGACATTGTTTATAATGATATACTGTTTGGATTTTCTGTGGGAGGTTTGATTTTGTTGCCGGTCAGACTGTGTGCTGGCAGTAACGCTCCTTGACCTTAAAGTCTGACAAAACCTAGATCAGAGGATTGATGATGATCATTGCTGCAGGCCTTGTGAGTAACTACCTGCAGTCAATTTCTGAAAAATTATGTGTCCAGTATATATTATAAATAAATGTTCAAATGTAAATTTTAATAAGAAATCTTGTACTATGTTTATTGGTCTGTGTATCTCCAAGATATTGTTGACTTAGTTGTAGCTTTTATTACAGATGGGATCATGGCATCCAGTAACTATTGTTAATAGAATCACAACAATTTGCTAAGGTAGAAACCAAAACACACAGTTTTTCTTTATGGAGAAAGTTGATTAACATGCTCAATCATAGCACTCGCAACACATACCCGGTGGCACAGCTTTGGCCTGTTGAGATATACTTAAAGAAATTTAATATCGGCCATTGGTTTCTCTTAATCTTAATAATAATGTTAATAAACCTTAACATGATTGACCAGATATTAACAGCCATCAGAACTCATTATCCACCAATGAAAAACTCCAATGGAGCCATAAAGAGGAGTAGGAGGATTTTCATATTGATTGAATCTTGATTTACAGATGTAAATTGGATTTATTTACTTGCGTTCAGCTGCTTTACTACAGCACACCCCCAGGTCGCCTTTGAACCAGCTGCCCCAGTGAGTTAACCCTTTGGTAGTCCATAAGAACTCAGAGCAGGAGTAGACAATTCAGCTAATGAAGCCTACTCTGTCATTTAATACGATCAAGGCTGATCTCGTCTCAGCCTCAATTCCACTTCTCTGCCCGCTCCCCTTAACCCTTCAACCCTTTACTGATTAAAAATCTACCTCCTCCTTAAATTTACGCCATGTCCTGACATCCACCACACTCTGGACTAGCGATTCACAACTCTGAGAAAAGTAATTTCTATTCATTTCTGTTTTAAATCTGTTACCCTTTATCGTAAAACTATCTCTCTCATTCTATATTGACCCATATGAGAAATAATCCTTTCTAGATCTGCTTTGTCAGTGCACTTTATCATATCTTTTATACCTCAACTAGGTCTGCTCTCATTCTTCCAAAGTCCGGAGAGTATAGGCCTAAACTGCTCAGTCTCTCTTCATAAATCAAACCCCTCACCTCTGGAATCATTCCAGTGAACCTGCTCTGAACTGCCTCCAATATGACGACATCCTTCCTGAAGTAGGCGGACCAAAATTATATGCAATATTCCAGGTGTCGTCTCACTAATGCCTAGTACAGTTTCAGCAACACTTCCTTACTTTGTAATCTATTCCTTTAGCAATAAATGCTAAGGTTCAGTAATGCCACAGTTAGGGATAGGTGAAGTCAGCTGAGCTGGTTAATGGCACATGCACACATGATTGCTCAGGACTGAAGAAAGCACACTTGAATAAAATCTGCTAACAGCAGGCTGGCAGGTAAGACAGGTAACATAACACTGTCAAACTCTCATTACTCAACATGAGCCAGTGCCATGGACAGAGGGTGAAGATAAATTTGTAGCTGGTAGTCTTTTTCACCCCACCATAGTGAATAGAATGACAACATAATCTCTGGTGAGAAATAAGTGACGGAATAATCAGCTTTTAGGATGTGAGAGTAGGGAATCGCTGATTAGAGGTAAGCGGTCACCCATTTAAGATGGAGGTGAAGAGAAATCTTTTACTCACAGAGGGTTGAGAGACTTTGGGAATCTTCAAGTTGCAATGGAAGCAGCATCTTCGAATAGTTTTGAGGCAGAAGTAGACAGGTTTTCAATAAGCAAGGGGGAGAGAAAGGCAGGACACTAGGAAGCTCAGAGGGATCTTGGGATGCTTATCCACAGATCCTGAAGGTGGCAGGACGGGTTGATAGGGTAGTTAAGAAGGCATAGGGGACATGACTTTATCTATGAGACATAGATTATAAGAGCAGGGAGGTTTTGTTGGAGTGGTGTCGGACTTTGGTTAGGCCATAGCTGGAGCACTAGGTGTTCTAGATGCCACGCTATAGGAAAGATATGATTGCACTGGAGGGGTGCAGAGGAGATTCACCAGGATGGAGCAATTTAACTATGAACAAAGGCCTGATAAGCTCAGGTTGTTTTCCTTAGAGCAGAGAAGATTGAGGGGGCACCTGATAGAGGTGTATAAGATTATGAGGGCATGGACAGAGTGAATAGAAAGCAGTTGTTCCCCTTAGATGAAGGATCAACAACAAAGAGGCATAATTTTAAGGTGAAAGGCAGGATGTTTAGAGGGGATTTGAGGAAGGAGTTTTTCACCCAGAGGATTGTGGGAATGCACTTCTTGAGAGACTAGTCAAGAGGGGAAACTTTAAAAAGTACTTGGATGAGCACTTGAAATGCCATGACATTTGAGGCTTTGGGCCTAGCGCTGGGAAGTGGGATTAGTATAGATTTAAAGTAGCTTTTTGTTGGTGCGGACTTGATGGGCTGAAGGGACTCTTCTGTATTGCACAATCTATAAAATTTAACAGGCCTGGGCAGGAATGTGACATAATCAGGTGAGCAGTGACCTTATTGACCGATGGGCTGGCCTAGAGGGACTGAGTGAGTTTAGTCTTAATTGGTTGTTGAAAAGGAAATGAGTGTGAGCTCAACATTAGGAGCAACACCTCTGCCTGAGATCCATTTATTTTTATTTATTCTTCTCCTCCCGTTATCAGGTTAGGCAAAATAAGGCTAATACAAACTCCTCTCTGAGCTGCTCTCTGCTCACTACTTCCTGTTGATCAATGGGCAGGAAACCTAGTTACAGAGCGGAGGGAAGTGCTTCAAATTCTAGATACCAATCTCTACTCCTTGTTATTAATTATGACATTACTTTGAACTGGTTTCAACAAAGGAAGTGTTTTTATAAAGGGGATTGTGGAGGTTGAATGTCAAATTCTCAGCAGAATCTATTACTCGTTTCCGTGATGGTAAATCATCACCAACCATAGTTACATCACCATATCCAATATCAATGTCCAAACACTGAAATGAAAACACAACTCTTCTTTCCTCTTCTAAAGTTGCAGTACCTCTTTAAATTTGTCTTGAATAGAAGGGAAGAAATGATAGAATGTGAGGAAGGCCTGGTTGTTGACACTGTGATATCTGATCCAGAGCTAGCTCTGTGTTATTGCTTCACTGATGCTCAAACAGATATTACCTCTTCCGCCTAATCTCAATGGAGCTGGGTACCATGTGCATGTCTATTTTAGTATTAGCTCCCCTTTGACCTCTCTTACTTGTCCTGTTTCGCTCACCTCCTCTCCTGTCCATCTCCCTTTTCCTTCCTGTACTACTCTTTTTGTCATGATGTGAATGGCTGTAAATTGGGAGAGGGGAGTGTGCAGTGGGACCTGGGTGTCCTTGCGCACCAGTCGCTGAAGGTAAGCATGCAGGTGCAGTGGCGGTAAAGAAGGCAAATGGTATGTTGGCCTTCAATACGAGAGGTTTCATGTACAGGAGCAGGGATGTGTTGTTGCAGTTTTACAGGGCTTTGGTGAGACCACACCTGGAATATTGTGAGCAGTTTTGGTCTCCTTTTCTGAGGAAGGATGCTCTTGCTCTCGAGGGAGTGCAACAAAGGTTTACCAGGCTGATTCCGGGGACAGCGGGACTGACGTATGAGGAGAGATTGACTAGGTTAGGATTGTTTTCACTGGAGTTCAGACTAATGAAGGGGGGTGGGATCGCATAGGGACTTATAAAATTCTAACAGGATGGTCAGGGTAGATGCAGGGAGGATGTTACTAATGGTGGGCATGTCTGGAACCAGGGGTCATAGTATGGGAGGATTCAGGGTTTAGGACAGAGATGAGGAGACATTCCTTCACCCAAAGAGTGGTGAGCCTGTGGAATTCGTTACCACAGGAAGTAAATGATGCCAAAACATTGAATGTATTCAAGAGGTGACTAGAGACAGCATGTGGGTGAATGGGATCAAAGGTTATGGGGAGAAAGCAGGATGAGGTTATTGAATTGGACGATCAGCCATGATCATGATGAATGGCGGAGCAGGCTCGAATGGCCTCCTCCTGCTCCTACCTTCTGTGTTTCTATGTGGAGGTGCTAGTGTCGGACTGGGGTGGACAAAGTCAGAAGTCACGCGACACCAGGTTGATTTGGAATCACAAACCTTCAGCCAGGGCTTACCCGTCTCCCTCACGTCAGCCTTCACTCCCTCTCTTTCGTCCCACAACAGCGATAGGGTCAGCCTTGTCCTCACCTACCATCCCACCGGCATCCACATTCGGAGGATTATTAACCGCCATTTCCACCACCGCTAGTGGGATGCTACCACCAAGCACATATTCCCCTCCCCTCCCTTGTCCACATTCCACAGGGACCATTCCCTCTGGGACACCCTGGTCCATTCATCCATCACTCCCAGCACATTCCCACAGCCACACGGCACCTTCCCCTGCAGCCTCAGAAGATGTAACACCTGCACATTTACTTCCACCCATCTCACTATCCAAGGGCCCAAACCTACCTTCCAGGTGAAGCAGCACTTTACCTGCACATCCCACAACCTAGTCTACTCTATTTGCTGCTCACAATGTGGTCTCCTATACATTGGGGAAACGAAGCATAGACTGGGTGACTGCTGTGCAGAACATTTACATTCTGCCCACAAAACAAAACTCTGAACTTCCCATTGCCTGCCACTCTAACACACCACCCTGTTCCCTGGCCAACATCTCTGTCTCAGGCTCGCTGCAGTGCTCCAGTGAAGCTCAGCACGAGCTGGAAGTACTTCACTTCATTTTCCACTTGGGAACTCAGCAGCCTTCTGGCCTTAATATCAAATTTAATAATTTTAGGGCTTGAGCACCTTTCCCTATGCTTCCCTCCCATCCCAACGTACCAGGCCTTGTCATCATACGGACTGCTACCATACACTGCCCTTTGTCAGTCACCAATTGTCCCCATTAGTAATTATCCATTCCCCCCGTCTGACCTTTAACCACTCCTCTGTCCAACTGTGTTTCTGTCTTTGGGCTCTATCTCCACGTTTATTTAACTCTCCCATCTCCCTCCCCCTCCCCCCCCCCACCACAACCCCCCAACCCTATCTTCTTGATAAAAGCTATCCTTTCCCAGCTACCAACAGTTCTGAAGAAGGGTCGCT